TCTGCAGCTCGGACTTCACCGCTGTGGAGCAGTGGAAGGACGCAGAGTCATATAGTGAGTGCCAGGGACAGGAGGAGGACGCTCACGCGGAACACGACGACCAGTGCGGACAGCGCGGACAGGCGACTCTGGACGAGACTCAGTCGACGCAGGACGAGACTCAGGCTCACGACGCTCTGTAAGACCTCTAGTCGGCCCAGCGTAAGGAGAAGGACCAGGCAGCAGAGAGGCTGGCTGTAACTGTGACTGCGACTGGACAGGCGGTGGACTCAGTAGGGGAGGAGTAGGACCAGGAGAGGGCGGGAGGCCAAGAACCTTCTGAAGGAGCGGAACGTAGTACGGCCGCGGCCGCGCAACACCTCCTGAACCAGTAGAGACAGCACCAGCACCCTTAGCTCCAGGGTCTCCAGCTACAACTCCCGCAACACCACCAGCAGCTCCAGCAGCTCCAGCAGCTCCAGCACCTCCAGCTCCAACTCCCGCAGCAGCTCCAGTCCCAGTAGCTCCAGGACGAGCACCTCCAGGACCAGCGGCACTAGCAGCTCCAGCACCAGCAGCACCCCCAGCAGCACCAGCACCAGCAGCACCTCCAGTAGCTCCAGCACCAGCAGCACCTCCAGCAGCACCAGCAGCACCTCCACCAGCACCAGCACCAGCAGCACCTCCAGTAGCTCCAGCACCAGCAGCACCTCCAGCAGCACCAGCACCAGCAGCACCTCCAGTAGCTCCAGCACTAGCAGCACCTCCAGCAGCACCACCAACAGCTCCAGCAGCACGGCTACAGCGCCGAGCGTACCACTCACGAAGCTGCAGTGGAGAGAGGAGCTCCCGCCGCGACGGGACACTCGGAGGACCTCCAGTCGTAGCACCCCCAGACTCAGCAACCCCAGGCTCAGCACCCCCAGGCTCAGCACCCCCAGACTCAGCAACCCCAGGCTCAACACCCCCAGACCCGGCACCCGCAGGCTCAGCACCCCTAGCAGCACCAGAGTCAACAGCTACCTCAACAGGCTTGACTGCGTCTACCTGAGACACACCTGAGGGGGCAGGACCCTGAGGGGGGAGGGGGTCTACCGGAGGAGGACCTGGCGTGAGGAAGAGCGGCGGGGGGGGGAGGGGAGCAGTGCGGTAGGGGAAGAGACGGTAGTAAGGAACCGACTCGTCAAACGTGACGTCCTGAGAGGACAGAACACGACGCGAGGTGGGGTGGTAAAACTGCCAACCAGGCGCGTCAGGGGGGAAGCCAAGGAAGACGCAGGGAACGGCACGGGAGGACAGCTTGTCCGCAGACAAGTCGCGGACAAAAGCTCGAGATCCCCAGACACGGAACGCAGACGCATCGCCAACCTTCCCCGTCCACCGCAGAGTGGGGGTGGTCTCCGGCATGGAGACCCGGGGCTGGAGGTTGATCTGATGCGCCGCGTACTGAACCGCGAACGGCCACAGAAAATGGGGAGCAGCCGCATGGATCATGGACGTACGAGCGACATCCATGACCATGCCAATGCGGCGCTCAGAAATCCCATTTTGCTGTGGAGAGGCCGGAAGCGTGAACGTCTGGCGGATGCCCTCCGCCCGACAGAAGGCTCTCAAAAGGTCGGAGGAAAACTCTCGACCTCTGTCCGAGTGCAGACGCAGAAAAGGAAAGTCCGAGCCGAAACTCTCTCTGAGCTGGAGACGAGCAGCGCGGATCCAGTCGATCAACACCTCAGTGACCTCACCCTTGCGGCGCAAGGGGAAGACCGTGGTGTAACGCGAGTAGTCGTCAACAACCAGCAGGAAGTAACGCTCGTGACCCTGTCCACGGACGCGGGCTGGGCCCCACACGTCCATGTGAAGAGTCTGCAGGGGAGCCTCTGTCGGAGGAAACTCGGAGGAGTGAGGAGCAGCGCGCTGCCGGCCCTCGACGCAGGGAACGCAGGTAGGGGCAGGCCCCGGAGGAAGGGGAGGGAGGGAAGGGGGCAGACCTGAGACAAGGACACGGGAGGCCATGCCTCGAAGACGAGGCAGGGAGGGGTGACCAAGGCGGTGGTGCCAGAGAAGAGTCTCGTGAGACAGGAGGCGACACGAGCAGGGGGCAGACTCAGGGCCAGACCGCGACGCTGCAGCAAACACCTGACCAGACGCGGCAACCTGACCAGTCGCAGTGACAGGAGGAGACTCAGTGGTAAGGGTGTAGAGGCTGGACCCTGGCCGACGGGTGAACGTGGCCAGGTGACGGCCCGTCCGAGCACACGTGCAGTGCGTCACACGCTGATAGGCAGGGGTGAACTGGTGAACACCCCCATCCTGAAGATTAGCACCCGCCACCAAGTTCGTAGAGAACGAGGGGAGGTGAAGACCAGACAGCGAGCCGGACGGAGCCGCAGGACACGGGAGAATAGTGGAGGAACGGGCCACAACTGGTCCCCCGGAGGGGTCAGCCAGAGAGACTGCCAAAGGCCGACTGAGCGGCGAGAGTGTGAAGCAGTCGCGAAAGAAGGAGCGGGAAGCACCCGAGTCAAGGGTGAAAGTGTGCAAGACCTGAGCCGACGCGGTACCTGAGAGAGCAGCCTCACCAGCACCTGGAGCAGCAGACTCACTAGCACCTAGAGCAGCAGCCTCAATGCCCGGGTCGGGCGGAACACACAGGTAACAGTCACCCTCAGCACTAATAGACACAGCATACATAGCAGCAAGGATAGCATCATAGTCAAGATCAAAGATAGCAACCCCCGACTTAAGCAGAATATCCCAGCGAGGGATCTCAGCGGAGCCAGGGAACTGAGCACGCCAGGCGTCAGTCAGGCGGCCGAAACAGCGTGGAGTGGTGTGCGGGCCGCCGCACGTCTCTCCACTGCGGTCGCCGGTGCGAAGAACGTAGGTGCAGGGACCAGCACCCCCAGACCTCCCACGCCCAGCGTACCACTCACGGAGCTGCTGAGGCGACGGGGTCTCACGGGAGCGCTGCTGCTGCTGGCGCTGGCCACCGCTAGAGCCTCCCCGCTGCCCACCACCACCCCCGCCACCCCCACCTCCGCCGCCGCCGCCGCTACCTCCACCCCCACTCCCGCTGCCTCCGCGCCCTCCACCTCCACCGCCGCCACCAGAGCCCCCACTCCCTCCACCACTCCCACCTCCACCCCCACCCCCTCCGCCTCCTCCACCGCCACCGCCGCCGCCCCCGCCATCCCCTCCACCCCCCTTGCCCCCCTTGCCCTTGTTGTAGCGACGCTTCCCACTAGGGGCAGACGCAGCGCCGACCGACTCGGTGCCAACGAGGTCGACAGCAGCAGCAGAGGCAACAGAGGGCAAAAGAGGGACGGGGGAGCATCCCTCAAAGAAAGGGGCACGAGGGTCACCACGAGAGGCTCCTACAGCGACTATACTCTTCTCAGCTGCAAGGAGGCGCTCCTCGAGGAGGTCAACGGTGAGCGTGGTGGGGCAAAGGGAGAGGAAGTGGTCCCTGACCGAGCAAAGGGAGTCAGGGAGCCGGGTGACGAGGTAGTAGAGAGTGATGTACATAGGGGGGTGGGTTCTTGGCGCAGAACTCGGCAGGGAGCGCAGCGCGGTAGCGGGTAGTGGTGGGACGGGGCGCTAGGGGCAGGCGCGAAGCGCGCTTCGGGCAGGTAAGGAAAAAATAAAATCGTAGTGGTGGGCCCTTAAAAAAAAAACGGTCCCACTAGGGAACCCGCTCTGATACCATGTGAGAATAATACGAGGAATTATTGACTAGGAAATGAGATGGGTACAATATGAAACCCTAGGAAACTGTACCCCCTAAGGTCTAACCCACTACAGCCTAAACAGGCTATAACATATATGTTTGACAAACTGGGTCCCCTTGGATAGAATTGAGAAGAATCACCCTGTCCTCACTGAGTATCTGCGCAGCCGAAACTTCCGAGATGTACACGCGCTCTCGTAAGAGGGGACTCCTTGGGGAGGGGGGTAGTGTAAGGAAATTTTCTTTTCCTTACTTCGCGTCCCTGCTTACCGCGTACATGCCCGTTCCCGCCATCGGCACCCATCCATGAACGTTACCCGTTCACGACATTTGCCTCGACCACGACTCCCGCCACTGTTCACGGCGCAACCCAACCTAACGGTTCGGTTGGTAACCCGCGCTCCGGACCTCCGCCTCGACAATTCTCCAAACCTCGGCGCTAGGCCCGTAGCGCACCCCAATTTCCCACATTACCGTTACCACGCTAGCTTCACTATATAACTTCGCTCATGTCCTTCGCTCAAACTGTATTGATTGCTTCGTGCAATTCTCACTCGCTCGTTCAATTGCACTCGTAACAAAAATCTTGTATCTTATTTCACAGCCACGTCCTTGTCAAGTCAACATTGCTAACGAAATACACGGTCACAGACAAACATCAGAAGCCTACGTTCTACTGTACCAAGTTTTTGTGTGTCTGGCATCTCGCCGATGCCGAACCATTGGCTGAAACAGAAAGTAACCTCTTCCATAATTCGCGAACCTCGTCAATCACGTCAAACGGGAGTGGTTTCTACAGCTGTTTCGTGAAGAGTCGCTCTTGGAAATGGCAGTCGCTGTCGCATGGATATGAATGACGTGGCGATAAGACCTTTGCGCCATCCACCACCCATTCACAACCTTCCCGCCCCGCCAAAACCGCCTGCGCCACTCAATCCCTGTCCCCCCCTTACCTCCGATCCCATCACATTCACCCCCTGCATACCCTCCGCGCGGCAATCCCTTTGCGCTAAACATCCCTTCCGCCGCAACCGCTTCCGCCGCAATCCGTCGGTTCATCCGCCTACCCTCCGGCCTCGATTCAATTTCATCCCTCGATTCAATTTCATCCCTCGATTCCTCCATTCAGTCTACTCACGCACACAGGACTCTATTCCCCTTGATCCTGATTCCCGACTGAGCCAGTTCTTCTAATTCTTCCTGCTGGCAATTGTGATCTGGTCCGCAGCAGTTTTTTGTTCCGCCAGATCCTCACACCCCGTCTCCGCCGTTTCAATCGCGAGTTACTATCGCCATGGCAGCGTCTACCGCGTGCACGCTCGGTGCGGTCTGCTGGCAGGCAGCCGCCAAGGCCGACCGCGCGGCTGAGCTTCTGTCCTCCGCCAGCTGCGCTTCCACGAAGTCGCTTCGCGTCGCGCTTGCCGCCAAGGCCTCTCTCCAGGTCCGTGCCTCACTGCGCCTCGCTGCGCCGTGCTGTACGGGGATGGCTCCCATTATGAACGCCAAATTAGCGTCAAGTAAATTGGAGCGAATTTGGACATTAACGCAAGCTAACAATAAACTCCTGGCGTAGAGCGGATGGGATAGAGGTGCAGCGGGGAATTGCAAAAGTGAAGCGCCGTCATGATTGGAAAGCGGTAGCGTCGCCACGATCGGGTGCTGCTTGCTCGCATGTTTTACATGCCTCCTGCGTGTGCCTTTTTCCAGCTTGCTCACGCATTCGGCGGGATGCGATTGACCGTCCATAGTAAGCTTGCCATGGCATCGTGTATTGTTCCGCCCAGCGTTTAGAGAGAAGCTAGATTCCGCTAGTCCACCTGGTCGCGATATAGCCAGTCGACATATCGGCTTCACCACGTGGTGTCGACTTGTTTCTCCTTCCTTGTTGGTTCAAGTTCACCTGTTTACCTCCGCACGTCTTTACCTTGTTACATCGTCACTCAATCACCTCGCGATCACGGCACCACACATCACAATCGTCTCGCCATCTTTTCCTCCCCGCGATTCCTGCAGGCCAGCGCTTCGTCGCGACGGGTCACTCGATGCGCCGCGGCTGACAACGTGAGTGAACCACCTGTGCTCGCCTCGTCGTGCTGCCGCCCACTGTCTGCTTTGCCATTTGCTCCCTATCCTCCCGGCTGCATCCCACTCGTCACGAGTTTTGAGGCGGCTCAAAACTTCGTCCGCTTTGTCCTCTGCTCCTTGTTCTTCCGGCTGCATCCCACTCGCCACAATCCTTTCCCTATACCCTCCCCTCCTCCCCCTCCCACCCCCCATTCCCCCGCCTCACCACTTATCCTCCCCGCGCCTCCTTCCGACTCCACCCTTCCGCCATCTCCCCCCCACCTCTCGCTAGCATCGCAATCTTCCATTCTCTTCGCTTCTCGTGCTCGGCCGTTCCGCCTTTCCCTTGCCCCGTCATCATGCGTGCACCCGCCCCTGTCGCACACTCACGCTCGAACACACGCATGTGCGGCACCTTTTGCTGCGCTCTGTCATCCGCGTCGCTGCTTCCACCATCCATCAATTGCGTTATCCATGCAGCAACACCATCCGCTCTCACTCACATGCACGCCGCTCACCTCTTGCTTCTGTGCCCCTCAACCCGCCTCCTTCCGTCTCTCCCCGTCTTTCCGTTTCTTCGTTTATCCGTCCTCCAACGTACCTATCCCGGTCTTCCTCAACCCCTCCCTCGCTCCAGACAACGGCAGCGGCTGCGGCGGCGTCGGAGGCGCCGGCGGCGGAGATCACTGACACGTCAGCGTTCATTGCCGATGTGTCAAGCCTCATCAAGTGCGTTCTGTCACCCTGTTAAACATAATATCCACTTGCCGTCGCGTCATTAGTGCCTGGACTCAAATTTGTCCGCGGTGCAGCTCGACGCGCTTCGCTATAAAAAAATCGTTCTCTCTGATAGCTGCTCTTTGCCTATTCTAGGCCAGCAGTTATCGTTCAATACGTTTCTTCGTCCCTTCTCGTTCCGTCGCTCTGCCTCTCAATTTCCTCTCCCACACCCCCTTCCCCCCTTCCTTTCCCATTTCTGCGCACACTCGTGAATTTTCGCAACCCTGCGGCGCGCATGCAGGCGGGTCACCCTCGAACCCCCATAGAAGTTTTCCCTCGTTCTCCAAACCCCACCGCTCATTTTCCCTGCCTGTGCGCAAGCACATTTTAGCGCAGCTCAAGCACACTTAAGCGAGCAGACGTCGTTCGGGGCGGGGCACAGTAGAGCGGAGCTCAAGCACACTCGCGACGTTCCACTTGATTGGAAGCCCTCATGCCGTCGCTCTCCCCTTCCCGTCCGCGTTCCGCGCAGGCTGGTGGATTCGCGCGATATCGTCGAGCTGGAGCTCAAGCAGGGGGGCTTTGAGATCCTCATCCGCAAGAAGGAGGCTCTCCCCGCCCCCGCGGCCCCCGCCGCGCCCCCCGCGCCCGCCTACCCCGCCTACCCCCCTCCCCACATGATGGCGCCGTTCCAATACGCTGACGCCCCCGCCCCCGCCGCCGCCGCCGCCCCCGCTCCCGCTGCCAAGCCCGCTGCTGCTCCCGCCGCCCCTGCGCCGCCTCCGCCCGCCGCGCTTCCGCCCATGGTTTCCCCCATGGCTGGGACGTACTACTCTTCCCCCGCCCCCGGCGAGCCCCCTTTCCTCAAGGTGAGTGGGGCCCGTTGGTCCAGGTCAAGGCGAGGGTTATTCCTCTGGGCACGTTGCGATTTTGCCCTCCTAAGTCTCTGCGCCCGCCCTTCCCTGCCCATCCACTCCTGCGACTTCCGCACTCTAATGTGTGGGTGTTGCTTTCTTTCGTGGCATGTTTCCTTGCTGGTGTTGATATGCTTGGGACGGTGATGGGCTGATGCATGGCATGGCATGGGGCGTGGCATGGGACATGGGATGGGATGGATGACTTGACTGCCATTGCGTGGCATGACGTGGCGTGGCATGGCATGGCATGGCAGGTGGGGGACAAGGTGACCAAGGGGCAAGTGGTGTGCATCGTGGAGGCCATGAAACTCATGAACGAGATCGAGGTGCGTGTGTGTGGTGCAAGGAAACACGGTGTGTGTGCTGCGGGACGAGGGTCGCCAGATTGAATTGTTGTTTCACCCTTGTTGGGCAATTGGAACCAATCTAGTCGTTTCCAATTGTGAGGAGCTGACCACATGACCCCCCCCCTTTTTCCCCCCTTCCCCTTTCCTTCCTCCCTTCCCTTTCCTTCCTCCCTTCCCCTTGGCTTCCTGTGTGCAGGCAAACCAGTCAGGCGCGGTGGTGGCCATTATCGCAGAGGACGGCAAACCAGTGTCTGTTGAGTCGACTCAAAAGTGACATGTGACCCCCGCCCCCTCCCCCCCCCCCCCCCCCCCCCCCTACACCTTCCCTCCCCTTATCTCCTGCCTGTGGTTTACCGATGCAGGCGGACCAGTCAGGCACGGTAGTGGCCATCATCGCAGAGGACGGCAAACCAGGCTTTTGAGATGTCTCACTATACAACCAAATTAATCCCATGATCCTTACCCCCCTCTTGGGTTCCCATGTGCAGGCGGACCAGTCAGGCACGGTGGTGGCCACCATCGCAGAGGACGGCAAACCAGGCTTTTGAGATGTCTCAGTATACAACCAAATTAATCCCATGATCCTTACCCCCCTCTTGGGTTCCCATGTGCAGGCGGACCAGTCAGGCACGGTGGTGGCCATTATCGCAGAGGACGGCAAACCAGTGTCTGTTGGCGCGGTAAGGCCCTGCACACACCCCTGGTCCTGGCGTCTTGTCTTGTTGCAGTGTGATAGGAGCAATGTGGCCTCCCATGTTCAGTCCTCCCTGACCCCCTCCCTCCTCCCCCCCTCCTCCCCCCACCAACCCCCGTTTCCCCTCCCCTTTCTCCCCTCCTCTCCCCCTAGTTTTCTATGTTTTATGTAAATTTCCGCCCAGTGAGCTATTTTTGCCGCTTCTCATGCAGTCCCATCCATCCACTACCGCAACTCTCTTCTTCCTCCACCCCTATCCCTTTTCCCCAATTTCCCTTGCTCTTGAACCTGAATATGCTCGTTTGCAGCCTCTGTTTACAATCAAGCCATGAGCGCCAACGCAGCTTCCCATTTATTTGAAAATATAAAATCATGTCCATCTGGAAACAGCAGGTGGTGGATCCATAGCAAATTGTTTCTGAGCCGATTTGCCATGTGCTGCTCAGAAGCTAAGTTTTTTGCATGTTCCAGGCCTAATTTGCCTTCTAGTGGAATCTGCGTGCTGTAGTTTTTGGATAGAATGTTTCAGATCACAATAATCCTGAACATGAGAAGTTCGCCAGTTGGGGCTAGTTCGTCAAAGCATTTATTTGCCAATTTCGTTTCATGCACTGCAATTGAGAAATGCTGCTGTATGGATACCATTGGATGGACAGGCCAATCACTTTCTCCATTAACAAAAGAAACTAAGGTATTTTTTGGACTGTGCATTTATTGAATGCCGCACAGCCCGATATACATGCGCACACAGCAGCACCAACAGCCCAAGTGCAGTGGCAACCAGAGCATGTAACGCACACGAGCAAGGCCCACACCACACCACACTGCAGTCATTCATCCCCACCGCACTGCAGTCATCCCCACCGCACTGCAGCCATCACCACTGCACTGCACTCCAACCCCACTGCACTGACCTAACATTTCAAGAACACCCATCCTGTGTCAAGGTGCTTCCAACATCCCTCCCATTCCACTCTCCCTTGCCGCATTCCCACTGCATTCAGAAGCTGACGTGGAAAATCCACGAGCTGACATGGCAGTTGGAGACCGATGCTGATGTCAGCAGAATCCCGTGTGGCAAAGGTGTGTTAACACTTGGTCACATAAGGCAGGCTTTAGGGTTCAGGGCTGTAAGCAGCGTACACGCCGCCTGAGGGGGATATGGGCGTCAGCGGATGTGGCTTCGCTCTGACGCGAGCATCGATGAGCTTTGGGGACCCTGGAAGAGGACAGGGTGGTGGAGAGAGGTGGAAAGGGTTAGTGAGGGATGGAGGGAGGGGCGGAAAGATGGAGGGACAGATGCGGGGAGATGGTGGAATCGGGGAGGGAAGCACGTGAATGGGGCTGTCTATGCATGTCGCTGGCGTTCAAATGCCAGCTTTCATCACCCTGGACTGGAAGTTGCTGGGACAGGCAGCAGGGTTAAGGGTGAGATAAGGCAGTTTGAAGGGTTCTGAGGCAGGCAGGCACAATACAAGCGCAGCTTGGAGGCAGAGAATGCAGAGGGCAGCCAAGAGCGGTAGAAAATGTGGCAAGGTGAAGGACAAACATCTAAACGCTGATGGGTCAATCTGTGAGTGCTTGGATGGAAATAGGCAGTGTAGCATACCTGCGACTTGGTTCCTGGGAAGACGTTCCAGAATCTAAGGGTTTCGTCGCCTGCTCCTGTAACAATGGTCTGCGATTGTCAGATATAAAGGAAGCAGCGACTGAGATTGTGAGATAAAGAGACGCAGTACCATTAGAAATGAAGAAGAGAAATGGCTGTGATTGTACAAAAGTGATAGACCAAGGGAACAGGGTCTGTGGTTGTAAGGGCGTGAAGCAGGGAGGGAACAAGACAACATGCAACATTTGCTCCTTGGCTGCTAATACTTAGCCGCTAGAAGACATACTTGGCTGTTAAAAAGACGTGATTGACTGCTAAAAGACGCACCTGGCCATCCGGCGACACAGCAAGGAAGAGCACCCGCATGGTGTGGCCGGTTAGGGTGGCCAACTGGAAGAAAACGACAAGAGAATAACAGATGAGAAAAAATAAGTCAGGACGTCCTAAAAGGCCTAATTGTTCCCACCCCAACAACCTAGTTGTTCTCAAGGAAAAAAGGAAAAGAGAAAAACAAAGAAATATACGAACAAATAACCCAAAACATAACTGTGCACGAAGGATGACATATCTGCAACAAAGGGTAATTACCTTGGCCATGGAGGGGTATTTCCAAACAACAACTTGGTTCTGCGAGTAGCCGTGTGTGCTTGCCAGCTCGTTGGCATTGCGCGACCAGAGGAGGTTGCACACCTGCATGCATGTATGCACAGATGAGCACATACGCACATGCATACATTCACCAAGAACATGCACCCATGCACCATAGCACAGAAATGCACACATGCACAGACGTGCACATGCACACAAGCACACAAGCATTCATGAGAAGGGATATAGGAAGGATATGGTGAGGAGGGCACACCGGCAGGTGGTAAGGGGCAGCATGGGTGGAGGGCAAACCGAATGCAGCGCAGAGGGCGGGAATAGAAGGAAGGAGCGATGCAGGGCACACGTTTGTGTGGCCACTGCACGTGAAATGAGGGTATTTTTGAGACGTCTCAAAAACACCCTCATTTCACGTGGCGATGCGGGGCACACGTTTGTGTGGCCACACTGCAGGGAAGGAAGCGCATGGGACCGCCTTTGCAGCAGCGATGCAGGGCACACGTTTGTGCATCTTCTCCCACAACCATCCCACAAACCTGGCTGCTGCTGTCGACCCCAGTCACGGGCATGACGGTGGCTGACACCAGCAGCCAGGTGGGCTCTGCGTCACGGGCATGACGGTGGTATCCCTCCAAACGCAGATGCAGCAGTCCCCCTTGCATGGGAGAAAAATGTACGTCACTGCCCTGCATTGCCGGGACCCACACGTCCACCCCCTATGCCACCCCCTCATGCTATCCCAATCAATCCATGCCAACCCACAGCCCACCAGTAGCGCTGTTCCAGAAGCGAATGCAGCGGTCGAGAGCGGTCAAGAGGGGTTGAGAGAGAACGAGGAGATTCCCACCTGGCTACCCGCATCGACCCACGACAGGGGCGTAGCAGTGGCGGTGTTCCAGAAGCGAATGCAGCGATCAGCTGTAACCCCCCACCCCGAGGCGAGCAGCTCGTCCTGGTGGGGCGACCAGGCGATGGCCCTGACTGCTGCCTGGTGCTGGTGCCACCAGCGAATGCAGCGGTCAAGAGCGGTGAGAAGAGGTCAATCGAAATAGAGAAAGTTGAGATTCTCACCTGGCTACCAGTGTCGACCCAGGACAACGGAGTGGCTGTAGCAGTGTTCCAGAAGCGGATGCAGCGGTCGGCTGTACCACCTCCTGAGGCGAGCAGCCCGTGCTGGTGGGGCGACCATGCGATGGCCTTGACTGCCGCCTGATGCTGCGTGAATCGCACGACCGGTTGTTGTGATGTCAGCACGCTCCAGATCAGCAGCTGTGTGGTGGGGGAAGGAAAGGGAGGTTGGGGGGAGGGGAGGGAGGGGAGGGAGGGGAGGGGATAGTAGGGGAGGTGAGGGGAGAGGGAGGAAAGGTTAGCACGTAGGAGAGGAGTGAGAGGAGGTCATAAGAGGAGAGAAATGAGAAGAGGTGCATAAGAGGAGAGGTTCGAACAGAGGAGCGAGGCATCACGTCATAAGAGGAGAGAAATGAGAAGAGGTGCATAAGAGGAGAGGGTCGAACAGAGGAGCGAGGCATCACGTCATAAGAGGAGAGAAATGAGAAGAGGTGCATAAGAGGAGAGGGTCGAACAGAGGAGCGAGGCATCACGTCATAAGAGGAGAGAAATGAGAAGAGGTGCATAAGAGGAGAGGGTCGAACAGAGGAGCGAGGCATCACGTCATAAGAGGAGAGAAATGAGAAGAGGTGCATAAGAGGAGAGGGTCGAACAGAGGAGCGAGGCATCACGTCATAAGAGGAGAGAAATGAGAAGAGGTGCATAAGAGGAGAGGGTCGAACAGAGGAGCGAGGCATCACGTCATAAGAGGAGAGAAATGAGAAGAGGTGCATAAGAGGAGAGGGTCGAACAGAGGAGCGAGGCATCACGTCATAAGAGGAGAGAAATGAGAAGAGGTGCATAAGAGGAGAGGGTCGAACAGAGGAGCGAGGCATCACGTCATAAGAGGAGAGAAATGAGAAGAGGTGCATAAGAGGAGAGGGTCGAACAGAGGAGCGAGGCATCACGTCATAAGAGAAGAGAAATGAGAAGAGGTGCATAAGAGGAGAGGGTCGAACAGAGGAGCGAGGCATCACGTCATAAGAGGAGAGAAATGAGAAGAGGTGCATAAGAGGAGAGGGTCGAACAGAGGAGCGAGGCATCACGTCATAAGAGGAGGATCTGGTGTGAGGAGCGAGTGAGGCGAGCACTGGAGCCCGCACACTTCATTCCCTGCGCCATGAGCCACACAACCACACCCACGTCCCTGAAACACTTTTGAGAATTCTCAGAAGGAATTCAGATATGGGCGACCGCAAGTCCCTCTGCAGCACACTCCAGTCGCGGCTGCCCCTGCCTCTCCCCCTGCCCCTCCCCCTCCCTCTGCCCCTGCCCCTGTCCCTGCCCCTGTCCTTGCCTTTGCCTCACCTGATTGTCGTTCCCCCCGGACGCTAATTCCCTGTCATCAGGCGACCACTTGAGCCCACACACTTCGCTCCTGTGCGCCGTGAGCCGCGCTACAAAGTCAACAGGAGAGTGCACATCCCGCTGCAGCACGCTGCGGTCTCTGCTGCCCCTGCCCCCGCCCCTGCCCCTGCCCCTGCCCTGCCCCTGCCTCACCTGGTTATCATTGCCCCCAGAAGCCAGCTCTCTGTCATCAGGCGACCATTTCAGTCCGCACACTTCACTCCGGTGAGCCGTGAGCCGCGCAACATAGTCAACGGGCGCCCGCACGTCCCGCTGCAGCACGCTGCGGTCGCGGCTGCCTGTGGCGAGCACATTCGCCGCCCACGCCATGGCTCCCACTCGCACCCTGTGCCCGCCCATCGACCGCACCCGACGCCCCTTCACCACGTCCCACACCTGGTGATGCATGGAGGGACGGAGGGGGAGGGGGGAAGGAGAGAGGATTTGCAGGGTTGAGAATGAGAAGTGGGTTGGGACAAGCGGTCACTCGCACACGCCATGGCTCCCACTCGCGCCCTGTGGCCGCCCATGGACCGCACTCAACACCCCTTCACCACATCGCACAACAGGTGATGCATGTGGGGAGGATTTGAAGGTTTGAGAGGGGCCACGGAAGTGGGGAGGATGATTATACCCCGTTCACGCCATGACTCCCTCCCAGACTCTGCCTGCCTATGCGCCGCAACCGACGCCCCTTCACAATGTCCCGCGTCTGCGAATCAACAGAGGAAGAATTCGAGGGGCGAGTAAGACACGCTCGTCCATTTCTACCCAACCCGTCGTTGTTCCCCCCCCCACACCCCTGCACGTGCCTCCCACACCCCTGCACGTGCCTCCCACACCCCTGCACGTGCCTCCCACACCCCTGCACGTGCCTCCCACGCACCTGCACGTGGCCGTTGTTGGTCCCCACGGCCAGCAGCGTGCCGCGCTGCGTCCAGCTGACAGAGCACACGGCGTCGCTGGGCCCCACGTCCACCAGCTTCGTCACCTGCGCCGGGGGGTGGGGAGGGCCGGGGAGGGGTGCGCAGAAGGAGGGCACACGCGGGGAAGGAGAAAGAGAGAGTGGTCTTGAGACGTCCAGCTGACGGAGAGTGGTCTTGAGACGTCCAGCTGACGGAGCGCACGGCGTCGCTGGGCCCCACGTCCACCACCTTCGTCACCTGCGCGGGCCCAAGAAGAAGGGCGCGTGGAGGGGAAGGGGCGTGCGGGGTGGGATTGAGAAGGGAGTGCTTCTAAGCCGTCCAGCTGACGGCGATGGCGATGGCGATGGCGATGGCGATGGCGACGGCGACAGTGTGCAGGCTGCCGCGATCGGGACCAATGGGAACGCGCGTGCAGCCAGCCAGCCAGATAGGCCGTCACATGCGATTATCTTGTCAGCTTAAAAAGCGGGACCGATGCGAACTCGAGGATAACCAGCCAGCCAGCCCTGTCACGTGGGCGCCTCGACGCGCGGGTTAATGGCGTGCGCACGCGCCAGTCAGCGGCATGCGCGCGCGCCAGTCAGTGGCATGCGCGTGCGCCAGACAGTGGCATGTGCGCGCGCCAGACAGCGGAATGGCGCGCAACAGATCTCTGTCTTCGTCCCTATTCCCCGTCAACAGCACTGACGCAGTTACGCCCTCCCGCTCGCCTCCTCCCTTCCCTCCCTCTCCCCCCCCTCCGTCTTCCCGCTCCCCTCCGCTCAACATCTCGCCTGCGCCATTCCGCTCGCCTGCGCCATTCCACTCGCCTGCGCCATTCCACTCGCCTGCGCCATTCCGCTCGCCCACGCCTCTTCGTGGACTGAAACTACCTCCTGACGTCAACTCTCAGTTTCCCGTCGCCGATGTCCCCAATCACCCTGCTATCGGCGGCGCCTTTAACTACTTCGTTGTAAAACGCCCTGCTATCGGCGGCGTACCAGGGGTAATCGCCTAGCTCCTTATCCGCGACGCCCTAATCACTTTGTTATGGCAGCACCGCGGCGCTCCAGAGATACTTAATATCACTACTTTCCTGCTTAACAGCTTGACGCTGCCGGCACTCCAGATGTAAAAAAAATACCTTCTGCCGCGGCGCTCCACAGATTTTTAATCAGACTATCCCGCTGCTGACATTGCTCAGACTATCTAGCAACCTTGCTGCCGGCGGCACCCCAGAGGCCTGCACGGGGTTAATTTTAATTACCTTGCTGCTGGCATTATATTACCTTGCTGCTGGCAGCGCTCCAGAGGTAGACGCAGGATCCGAGCCCCACGGCGAGCACGTTGGTGGACGACCAGTCGACGAGGTTCAGATAGAAATCGTCCTGTAGCGCGGGCGCGTCTAGGACCTGGTGGTGGGGGACGAAGTGCGGGGGGGAGTAGGAGAGGAGGAGTGCAGTGAGGGCGCGGGGAGGGGAGTGACGCGGCGAGCAGTCGACCAGGTTCGGATAGAAATCGTCCTGTAGCGCGGGCGCGTCCAACACCTGGTCATGGGTGGGAGAAAGAGGGAGGGGAGAAGGAGAGGGGGAATGAACAGGAGCCGCGTCCCGCGGCAAGAACGTTGGTGGACGACCAGTCGACGAGGTTCGGATAGAAATCATCCTGCAGCACGGGCGGGTCGAGCACCTGGTGGTGGGGGGACGAGGTGGTGGGGGGACGAGGTGGTGGGGGGACGAGGTGGTGGGAGATGGAGAAACGAGGAGACGTGCAGCCAGGACGGGAACAGGGGGAAGATGGAGAGAGACGGGGGGGGCAGTCGGCTCATTGGTGGACGACCAGTCGAGGAGGTCGAAATACGAGTCGTCCTGTAGCGCGGACGCGTCTAACACCTGAATTGGCGGAGGCAGAAAGAGAGGGGGACGATGGAGAGGGGGAAGATGGAGAGGGGGGAGATGGAGAGGGGGGAGATGGAGAGGGGGGAGATGGAGAGGGGGGAGATGGAGAGGGGGGAGATGGAGAGGGGGGAGATGGAGAGGGGGGAGATGGAGAGGGGGGAGGTGGAGAGGGGGGAGATGGAGAGGAGAAGCGAAGTGCATTAATCACGTTGGCGGGCAACCACTGGACGAGGTTCAGATACTAATCGTCCTGCAACGCGGGCGCGTCCAGCACCGGGTGAAGCTGGGGACAGGGAGAGGGTGGGAAGTTGGCAAGGAGTATTGTCAGGAGCGGGGACGGGGAACGATAAAGAGGAGACGAGGGGTGCAGCTCAGCTCGGTAGTGATCCACCAGCCGACGACGTTCAGATAGAAGTCGTCTGCGGCGTCCCAGGGGGGCGATAACCTGTGTTAGCGGGAGCGACTGGCAGTACGCGGCCGGCAACACGCGGCCGGCTAAGCGAACGGCAAGCGACCCGAAGGTGGCGGGCGAGCGGCAGCACAAGCGAGTGTCGGAGCTAATGCGCAGCCGCAACGGAGCCCAATCGTTCGAATGCGCACATGGTGTGACGAGAGCGCGATAACGAGCGAGATATTATGGGAGGGGGGGACAAGGAGCGAGCGGTAGGGAGCGAGCGAGCGAGCGAGCGCACCTTGAACGGCGACCTTGCAATTTTTCGCGGCGCCTTTTTGGGGCTGAACGGCAGCCCGCACAAGGCGGCGTCCAACCCTATGGGCGACAGCGACAGCGGCGAGTCCAGCCCGCTCCCCCCGCCGTGATCCGCGGCGCCGCCTGCGCTACTTGCGCCGTTGATATAGCGGAAGAGATTCTTGGGCGCGAGGGGGGAGGAGGATGAGGAGTAGGGGGAGGTAGCGGAGGAAAACAGGGGGACGCGACACGGTCTACCGAGCACGCAATCCGACTCTTGCGCGGAACTCGATCCAAGCGCAGGGCTCGCGGAAAGCTGCCCGCCGAGCAGCTGCGACTTGAGCAGCAGCGAGTACGCTGCCGCGCTGTCCTCCCGCCCCTCGGGACCCGCACCGAAGCCGTGCGACGTTTGCGGAGGGTCGCCGGGGCGGTCGAGGAGCGGGAAGGAGAAGGCGAGGGACGAGGAGCGGCTGGGAATAAAGCGGTCGCTGTATGGCGCGGTGCGAAACGGACTAAAGGACGGAGAGGGCGCTTCGGGCAGTGGCGCTGCATCCGTCGCGCGGTAGATAGGGACCTCTTGATAGGCTTTGGCGGTGCTGCCGTGTGAGGAATAAGAGGAAGAAGGCGACGAGGAGGAATCGGCGGATTTGTTGGAAGAGAAAAACGTGGAGGTCGTGGGGAGCAACGCGGGCTCCGCTGAATGCTCCGTGGCGCCGTGTGAGGTAATTAATCGCGAATCCACTGCCATCTGACTAGCGCCACTACTTCTGTCGGCCATGGCTACTCGCTTGCTGTGGAAATCCTTTCTACGGTAGAGCAGGGCAAAACTGTGAGCGCAAAACACGAAAACTATTTAGTGAAGGGTAAGAGCTGAACTACCAAGGGTGGTTGGAACTAGCGCCATGGCTGTTCTGTTCTGATGCCCCAACAAGTGGTCATCCGCATCCCATACGAAAGCAGGCAGCGGAGCGCAGCGCCTCATTCCCCTCAACTTCACCTGCGCCCGCCCCGTACCAGCGCCAGTCAGCTGTCTGCGGGACTTTACTACCACGCCCGGAGGGGTGTGTGTGAGTGGGGTGTTTGAGGAGGGGGAGAGTGGAGTGGGGAGGGGAGCTGGGCGGGGCTGGTGGGGGCTGGCTGGAAGGGGCTGTAGGGGAATACTTGCGAAGGAATTCGAGCACGTAGGGTCGGTGTACCTGCGCTGGCGACGGAAGCGGAGCTCCCGCGAACCCTGAAGTAGGTCTGATAGGGTAGGGGGAGGGGCTGGTCGTACAGTCGCACGCGATTTCGTGGTTGTCAAGAGGAGCGTCGCATCGGCCACGGAATCGCAGCCTCCGCGTGGACGACGGAATGCGAAGTCGTGAGTGGAGTTCCCGAGGTTGGTTAGGGGAGGAGCCACCCGGCATTCCGTGGCACTCACGTCGGGGGCGAACCGCTTCCCGAAGCGCTCACCATTGCATGCAGCCCCACAATAGGCTGGCAGCTTGACCCTGTCGAGGGACCATCACTGAGATTATAGCGAAATAGGCTCGGATATTGAAGATTCTAGCAAGAAAACATTACATGTGTATCTAAACTATAAAGTATGGATGTATGAATAAACTGTGGTTGGACAATCACTGTACAAAGAGAAGATGATGTAGGTTTCACAACACCTGAATGTTTGAGACATGCTGCATAACTTATTTCCCTGCACCATTTAACACATCCTATGGGATACATACCGTACATCATTATACAAAACTAAACAGATTGCGTGAATTCAATGGCTACCATCACACCCCAGATATAGGTGCAGGTGGGCTTACTGTAGGGTGTTGCGCTTACACCCCCGCATGGAACAAATGATGATATTTTTACACCCTTTCCATTATTTTACTTCAATGAAGACCCAGGGGACCTCCAGCCTGGAGATCACAGTATGGAAACATCCTAGAAAGAAATTACACAATTCAATCACTGCAGCAAAATAACAATGAATACTATATCAAACAAACACCAATATCATGCCATTGAGCGAATGAGCTCATTAATTTCAACTCCTCTGTTCCCAGCCTCCCCTCCCTTGTTGAACCAACCGCCCTTGCTGAACTTGCCCCTGGGGGCAGCGAGGCGGAAAGGCCAAAGAAAGCCAGTCACTTGCAGGAAGTGCGGCCCCACTGTAGCGATCTCGTGAATCAAATCCTCGATACAGATGATGCCTGTGCTGCCCAGCGCCTGCAGGGAGCGAAGCAAGAGCGAGGGGCATGAGGCAAAGCAGCAGAGGAGTGTGAGAACTTGAAGGGGGGGGGGGGGATGGAGAACCAGCACTGGGTTTACAGCGTTGTCAGTGAGGGGCGCTCGCCGCCACCCCTTGGCCTCTTCCGCTGCACCCACCGGCCCTGTCCACCCCACCATCCCCCCCGCCTTCCTATGCACCCCCACCACCACCTCTGCCTTCCCAAGCAGGTTCTAAAGTGCCTCAAACAGGCAACTACCGGCTCACCTGTTCTACAATAGCGTTGTCAGTGAGGGGCACTCGCCGCCACCCCTTGGCCTCCTCTGCTGCATCCACCGGCCCTGTCCACCCCACCATCGCCTCCTGCTTTCTGGGTACCCCCACCACCATTGCCCCACTCCCCCCTGCCCCTTCTGAAGCCGCCCCCTCCCTTGCTTCCACCTCGTTGGTCTCTCCCTCCCCTCCCTCCTCCCCCTCTGCTTCCTCATCCCCCTCCTCCTGCTCCTCCCCTTCCCCTGCATCTTCCCCCTCTTCGCCCTCCTCCCCCTCGTCGTCGCCTTCCCCCTCCTCTTGCTGCCGTATGCGTGCCACTCCTCGCTTCATTATGAGCGCGCGCACTGATGACAGGTTGGGGAACCTGGGGGGGGGGTTTGTTGGGAGTATACAGGGGGGTGATGCGGGAAGATGGGGGAAGGAGGGGGGTAAGGGGGGAGGGGGAGGCAGGGAAGTGCGCCATGCCTCGTTTCGTTATGAGCGCGCGCACTGATGACAGGTTGGGGAACCTGAGGGACGGGGGAAGTGTGTGGGGGGATGGTGGGGGAACGAGGATAAGGGGAAGTGGGAGGGAGTGAGTGCAGGTTGGGGAACCTGAGAGAAAAAAGAGAGCCGGAAGGAAAGGGTGAGAAGCGTGCAAAAAATAAGGCTGGTATGTGGAAAAGAGCGAGGGAGAGAGAGGAGGCAGGAGAGGGAAAGAAAGTGAGAGGGAGACAGGGGAGAAGAGAGTAAGAGGGAGAGTGAGGGTGGGGAGAGAGGGTGAAAGAGAGGGAGGGAACGGAACACAGGAGAGGGAACTGAGAGAGAGGAAATTGGAAGGGGGTGGTGGTGGTGTTACGATAGAGAGTGCGGGCGGGTGGGCGGGAGGGAGAGAGGGAGGGAGGGAGGAACGGAGGGAGGGAGGGAGGGAGGGAGGGAGGGAGGGAGGGAGGGAGGGAGGGAGGGAGGGAGGGAGGGAGGGAGGGAGGGAGGGAGGGAGGGAGGAACGGAGGGAGGGAGGGAGGGAGGGAGGGAGGGAGGGAGGGAGGGAGGGAGGGAGGGAGGGAGGGAGGGAGGGAGGGAGGGAGGGAGGGAGGGAGGGAGGGAGGGAGGGAGGGCGTACCCGAAGGTGACATAGGGCTCGACGAGTTGCAGCATTTGAGCCGTGCGGTCCGTGGCTCGCAGGAAGACGCCCGAGTTGAGCTGCAGAGAGGGAGGTGAGGGAGGGAGGGAGGGAGGGAGGGGGGGAGGGTGGTGGGAAGGAGCGGGTAAGCGAGGGGCGCATTTGACCCGTGCGGTCCGTGGCGCGGAGGAAGACACCCGAGTTGAGCTGCAGAGAGGTGAGTGAGGGGGGGAGAGAGAGAAAGAGAGAGAGGGAGGTGTGCAGGGGGAGAGGTGCGCGGATAAGGAGGAGGGAAAGAGGGGACGGAAGGAGCGGACGACAAAAAAGGGTGCGTGTGTGGGGGAATGCCATGGGGACTCAATAGCCAAGTGCGCGGATCCGGTCATTAACAGCGTCAGCAGCAGCAGCAGCAGCAGCAGCAGCAGCAGCAGCAGAAGCGGCGGCGGCGGCGGCGGCGGCGGCGGCGGCGGCAGCAGCAGCAGCAGCAGTGTGGTTACCTCTGTGAGTCGGAGCATCTTGAGTATACTCCGCGACTGCTTCGTCATTTCGTGTTGCACCCTGCACGCACGTACAGGCACACAGATACGAGAGGGGATATTTGGGCTGGCCATCTCGAAGCAAACAATGGCGAATATGTGTGACAGTACGCAGTGTGTGACAGTGCGTTGTGTGACAGTGCGCTGTGTGACAGTGCGCTGTGTGACAGTGCGCTGTGTGACTGACATTACGCTGCAACCCTCACTCATCCCCACCCTCGCCTATCCACTCACCCTCTCTCCTCTCCGTCATTCACCCTCTACTCTCCCCCACCCCTCCCCTCTCCCCTCACCCTCTCCCCCCCACCTCATCCTCCCCCACTCACCCGCGGATCCGCACGGCAAACAGCAGCTTCAGGTTCGTTCCCGCCAAAACGCCCCCCTTCTCATCCCCCTTCCCCGCTGCGCCCATCCGCTCCACCGCTTTCTGCGCGGCCTTCAGCTTCCGCCGCGCCAGCCTCCGCTGCGCCGCGGTTCCCCCCCCCGCCACCACCGGCTTCAGCTGCACCCGCCGCCCCACCACCCGGTCCGCGCGAACGCGCTTAGCATCGCGCTCCTGTTGGGCGGACGGGAAAAGGCGGGCGGGGGAAGGCGGACAGGGGAAGGAGGTCAGCACGGGGAAAGGCGGGCGAAGGTTTCGGCAGGAGGAACCGGGTGGGGGAAAAAAAAACGCAGAAAACGGGAAACGGAAAACAAGGAGCTTGGCTGAATTGCCTAACTATTAAACTCCTTGGTCCGCTTTCACGACTCCACCCGCCGCCCGTCCCGGTTTTGTTGGAAGGGGAACGGATAGGGAGGAAAGGCGGTGGGAACCGAGACAGAAACCCAGACCGAAACCCGGAGCCCCAACGACTTAAAACCCCGAGGTTCGAGCGAGGGACCGGCACACAGGCAGAACCCCGAAGTCCTCACGGACCTCTACTGACTACTGGCGCGTAAAACCCTAAATCTGCAGCCCTGAACCCTGACCTCCGACTCTCTCTGCTGAGTCTTATAACCTCCGCTTCCGCACTCCCCCTCTCCTCCCCCCTGTTTTCCCCCCTTCCTTACCCACGCCCCTTGACCGCAAGACCATCAGCCCGCCAAGCCAGCCAATCGCAGCGAAGGGGATCAGCCGCCACGCGCGCAATCCCTTTACTCCACCCGCGTGAGTTGCTGCACCAGCGGTGCGTGCTGGCTCGAGAAATCTGGTCTACTCGCCGAATATCACCCATTTATTTTAAAACAAAGAAAATCGCATAAAGGCGGGAGAAACGCTTGCATCGAGATTCTCCGCAACGGGACGTGAGAAACATCCCGCGCGCGCACGCACCCTCCGGCGGAAGGCCAGCACGAAGTCCTCGGGGCGTTTGAAGCGCTTCTCCGCCTTTCCGCGCTTCCCGCGGTGCGCGTGCTTCTGCAGGAACTGCTCGCGCTTCTCCGCCGCGAATTGCTCGTCCTTCTTCCGCTTCTTCAGCACCGTCTCCGGCACCGTCGGCAGCACGCGCGGCGGCTGCAGCTCCTCCGCACTCATGGCGCCTGGCGGCGGACTGGGCGGGGGATCGGCGGAAGACTGGCGGAAAAACTCGCGGACGGCTGGCGAAAGAAACCAGCGGAAGATTAGCAGCGGAGTGACAGAAGAAGGGTAACGGAAGGCTAAGGGGACGAAGGTAAGGACGGGCTACGGGAAGAGGGGGAATAATAAAGAGTAGGAGCAGAATGGAAAGGAGCGAGAGAAGGGAATGAAAGGGAGATAACGCGAGTGAGTAGGAGCAGAATGGAAAGGAGCGAGAGAAGGGAATGAAAGGGAGATAACGCGAGTGGGTGGGGTTTCCGAGGTTCGATTCGATATCTGCAGGTCTCTTCTTGTTGAGAGAGTAAATTTAGTACATTGTACAACAAATCGTCCACGCTAACTAGTAATTTCAGCACAAGTTTTGTGTTGCTGTAATGATATATAGAATAATAAAATGCTTCGCAGCCACATCATTTCGTTACACAACTAAGATGCACAATAGAAATTTATCATTCGTAGAATTTGTTGCCTACGACATAAACCTAGCTAAACCATGCCGTTCACGTCTAGAGTAGAGAGCACACAATTAGCTTCCAACCGGCGATTGGAGGCACCTGCCATACCAATTTCTAGCAGCTTTACATTGCTGGTGGAATTAACAGCAGCAGCAGCAGCAGCAGCTGCTGCTGCTGCAGGTGCATGTGCCCTCCTGAATGCTCTTCGTGCCTTCGTGTATATCACCCTCCAAGCCTACTGCCCCAACCCTCGCCCCAGCAAGGCTGAGATTCTGTTACTTCCAACACCTCCCATCACACAGTCTCCAGCAGTTGGGTAATCCCAGTGGAGTTCCCATCGCTGCATCCCCTTTTCCTCCCTATCGGCGCCCCTCAGGCTCACACCACTGCACTCCCACCTATGCATCCCCCCCTCTCCTCCCTGTCAGCGCCTCTCACACCATTCTCATCAGCAGACAACCCTCCTGCCTCCCTCTCTCCCACCCTCCCCAACCCTCCCCCACACTTATCACACCATCTCGAGCAGTTTGATGTTCCCAGTTGAATTCGCAGCAACGAGCGTCTGCGAGTCCCCCCGCCAGCACACGCTCGACACAAACTGCCCCGCGTCCTCCTCCGTGTCCGCGCCTGTGACCGGGTCCACCCCGCCGAAACGGTGTGCTGCCATGGGCATCGGGAGTGACTTGTGGAACGCAAACACCTGGGAGAGGAGCGGTGATGGGGAGGGAGATGGATCGAAGACAGGCAGAGAGGGGGCATGTGATTGGGCACAAATGGGCGGTGAAATGGATTGCAGATGTGGGATCGTGGAACAACAGTGAGAGCCACAACGGGTTTTGAGGCGCCTCAAATGAGTGAGCCAGAACGGGATGGTGGCGCACACAAGGAGTGGTGGAGGGGAGTCGGGACAGAGAATGCCGCACGGCACGGCTCAAGGCATGCAAGGAAGACCAGTCCTCATGAGCACAGAGCATCTGTTTATTGAGAATTCTCAAAAAGGAAGACTAGTCCTCGTGAGCACAGCGCATACCTCGTTGGTTTCGGAGCCGCATGCGATGTAGCCATCAGCCACAGTGAGCCCCACAAAATTCTGCCGGGATAGGGAGAGATGGGAGGTGGGGGGAGCACGACGCGAGGTCAGAGAGGAGAGGTGCGAGACAGGAAGAGTGGGCTGCATGCGATGTAGCCATCAGCAACCGTGGGCCCCATAAGGTTCTGCCGGGACAGGGAGACACGGGAGGCACGGGAAGCAGCACGGGACATGAGGAATGAGCAACGCTACAGGCGGATGACCAACACTGACTGAGCCCCACCACGCTATGCCAGGACAGGGAGACACGGGAGATGGGAGATTGCGATGTGAGGTCGGAGGGGAGTTCTGCGGCGCCTCAAAACTCGTAACCACCAGCAACAGCGAGCCCCACGAGATTCTGCCGAGACAGAGGGACATGAGAGCTGGGGGGGACGCGATGTGAGGTCGGGAGAGGGACAGGAGAGATAGAAGGTGACAAGCGAGAGATGAATGAGCGAAGACGCACGAAACAGGCGAAAGAATAACCCTGGCATGAGAGCAAGTGAGTTATAAACAAACAGGTGGTCGTGACAGCAGCAGCTGACGTAACAGCACTTGATGGCCCACCAGCTACAAAAGCCACTCCATACCATACCATACCATACCATACCATACCATACCATACCATACCATACCATACCATACCATACCATACCATACCATACCATACCATACACCACCACAGCCCACCTTCTCATTGGTGCGCCCCGTGAACGTCCTCGTGCAGGCAGAGCCCCCATCCGCCCCACTCCCCCCCCCCCCTGCTGACTACACGCGCTGTTCAAATCCCACAGCTAGAGAGTATTGTCCGTTGAGGCAGACACATGAACCCTTAAAGCCCGAAGCCTGAATTACAAACTGCCCGTTGACTCAGTTTTTGTAATTCAGGCTTCGGGTTTTAAGAACCACCCACCTTCTCATTTGTGTGGCCAGTGAACGTCCTCGTGCAAGCAGAGGCCCCATCCGCCCCACCCCCCGCCTGCTGGCTGCATGCTTGGTTCAGGTCCCACAGCTTGAGAGTGTTGTCCGTGGAGGCAGAGACAATGGTGGAGGCGTGTCTTACCTTCTCATTGGTGTGCCCGGTAAACGTCCTTGTGCAAGCAGAGGCCCCCTCGCCTTGCTGCTGGCTGCATGCTTGGTTCAGGTCCCACAGCTTAAGAGTGTTGTCCGTTGAGGCAGACACGATGGTGGAAGCGTCGACGAATTTCACGTAGCTGACAGCCTTGCTGTGGCCCGTGAGTGTGGCGAGGGGCGCGCGGAGCGAGCGCAGGTCGAAGCAGTGCAGCGAGTAGTCTGCCGAGCCGAGGGCGAGCAGGTGCGAGGAGTGCGGGGGGAAGGCCACCGAGCACACGTTGGCCTTGGTGTGGATCGTGCCCACACTCGTGTCCTGAGAGGGAGGGAGGAAGGGGAGAGGAGGAGCGGAGGAGGAGGGGAGAAGGGAGAAGGAGAGGGCCGGAAGGGAAGGAAGAGGCAAGATTGTGAATAGAGCAAAGGAATGTGAGAGAGGGAGCGGAGGGAGCGCAGGTCGAAGCAGTGGAGGGAGTAGTCAGCCGAGCCGAGGGCGAGCAGGTGCGAGGAGTGCGGGGGGAAGGCGACCGAGCACACGTTGGCCTTGGTGTGGATTGTGCCCACACTCGTGTCCTGAGGGTTGGGGGAGGAGAGGGAGAGGGAGAGGGGGAGGGAGAGGGAGAGGGAGAGGGAGAGGCAAGAGTGTGAATAGAGCAAAGGAATGCAAGAGAGCGAGCGCAGGTCGAAGCAGTGGAGGGAGTAGTCTGCCGAGCCAAGGGCGAGGAGGTGCGAGGAGTGCGGAGGGAAGGGCACGGAACACATATTGGCCTTGGTGTGAATCGTGCCCATGCTCGTGTCCTGAGGGGGGAAGGGGGGGAGAGGGGGAGAAGCAGAATGGAGGAGGGGAAGAGAGGTGGGGAACGGGAGGGAGTGGCAGAAGTGTGAATAGAGCAAAGAAATGCACGAATGTGCTTGAAACGAGGTTGACTAAGGAGAGAGAAGGGTATAAGAGAAGGTTAGCAAACCAATGCGAATGATGGTACGGCTCATGATGGTACGGCTCATGATGGTACGGCTCGTGATGGTACGGCTCATGATGGTACGGCTCATGATGGTACGGCTCGTGATGCACATGAATCCCTCGCTTCATGCAGTCAGTACCACACCTGGTCAACCTGCTCTGACCAATCAAGATGCCCCACCTGGATCACGCCCCACCTGGTTGATGCTCCACCTGGTTCGACCTGCTCGGACCAATCAGCACGCCCCACCTGGTTGATGCAACCAATCAGCACGCCCCACCTGGTTGATGCAACCAATCAGCACGCCCCACCTGGTTGATGCTCCACAGCTTCACAGTGCCGTCGTCGCTGCCACTGGCGAGGCGGGTGGGGTCGCAGGGAGAGAAGTCCACACTCCATGCCCACTTCATGCACACAGTACCACACCTGTCCAACCTACTCGAGAAATAACCCCACCTAAACCACGCCCCACCTGGGTCACACATTACCTGGTTGATCCTCCACAGCTTCACAGTGCCGTCATCGCTGCCACTGGCAAGGCGGGTGGGGTCGCAGGGAGACAAGTCCACACTCCATGCGCGCTTCACGCACTCAGTACCACACCTGTTCAACCTGCTCCAATTAAGCACCCCACCTGCTTCACGCCCTACCTGGTTGCCCCCCTTCTTGGTTGCCGCCCCACCTGGTTGATGCTCCACAGCTTGACAGTGCCGTCGTCGCTGCCACTGGCGAGGCGCGTGGGGTCGCAGGGAGAGAAGTCCACACTCCATGCCCGCTTCTCATGCTCCCCCCACTCCATCACCGCTGCCCCCGTGCCCGCATCCCACAACTGGAGATTGTGGGGGAGGGGGAGAAAGGGGTGGGGAAAGAGGGGGGCATTGAAGACCCCCCACCAGGGGGGGAAGCCGGGGTGGAAGCAGGGGGTCGCAGGGAGAGAAGTCCACACACACTCCACGCGCGCTTCTCGTGCTCCCCCCACTCCATCACCGCTGCCCCTGTGCCCGCATCCCACAACTGGGGGGGATGGGTTGGAGAAGGGGGTGGGAAGTGCAGGGGGGAAGAGGGGAAGGAAAGAGGGGAAGGAAAGAGGGGAAGGGGAGAGAGGAAGGGAAGGCCAGTGAGGAGTGCACTGAGGTGCCCCCAGGAGGGGTGGAAGCAGGGAGTCGCAGGGAGATGATTTCACACCCCATGCCCGCTTCTCGTGCCCCCCCCACTCCACCACTGTTGCTCCCGTGCCGGCAGCTAGGGGGAGGGAGGGGAAGAGGAAGAGAAGGGGGCACAGGGTGGAGGGTGATGTGAAGCATGGAGCATGGAGCATGGAGCATGGAGCATGGAGGATGGAGCATGGAGGATGGAGGATGGAGCATGGAGGATGGAGGATGGAGGATGGAGGATGGAGGATGGAGCATGGAGCATGGAGGATGGAGCATGGAGCATGGAGCATGGAGCATGGAGCATGGAGCATGGAGCATGGAGCATGGAGCATGGAGCATGGAGGATCGCTGGCGCCCCACGAATTGCAGGCGGGACAGGAGGGCGGTGGTCATGTGCAGTGCAGTGCAGTGCAGTGCGGTGCGGTGAGGTTCCCCAGGCAATGCTCTACACTCGCTTCTCCTGCTCCCCCCACTGCTTGCTCACTTCACACCGCTTCTGCCCGTTGCACCATGCTCGCCATCCCACCCCCACCTCCTCCCCCCCAATCCCAACGCTCACCTGCACCACCCCATCATAATCAGCAGAGGCGAGCCGATGTTTTATATACCCGTTCCAGCTGACACACAACAGCTTGGGTCTCCACCCCATCTCCACCACGGGATAGTGCACATCCACTCGCCCCGTCTCCTCTTCCTCTACCCCCTACCCCCCCGAATGCTCACCTGTACAACTCCATGATAGTCCGCGGAGGCCAGTCTATTCTTGATGCTCTACCCCCTACCCCCACAAATGCTCACCTGTACCCGTTCCACCTCACAGACGACCGCTTGGCCCAGCAACCCATCACCCCACTGCTCCCACTCAAAACCCCCCAGCTTCTCTCCCTTCCCCACCTCACTGCTCACCTGCACAACTCCATCATAGTCCGCGGAGGCCAGTCTATTCTTGATGTACCCGTTCCAGCTCACACACGACAGCTTGGCCCGACACCCCATCTCCACCACCGGATAATGCACGTCCACGCGCCGCCCGGCCAGCACGCTCTCGCACTCGAAGATCCGAATGCGCCGACAGACGCCGCCCGTGGCGAAGAACTGCGCGTCGCGGTCGAAGGCGAGGGAGCAGACCATGGAGGCCGCGTTGAGCAGGTGCGCGTGGCGCAGCGTGGCGCGCACCTCAAAGCGCGAGTAGCGCGCAAACTTGCAGAGTGAGTCGAAGAACTCGCCTAGTAGGTCCCTGCTCTCGGTCACTCCGTGTTGCTCGTGCAGATGCTGCTGCTGCTGCTGCTGCTGCTGCTGCTGCTGTGGTGGTGCCAATGCTCCGCCTGCTCTTCCTGCCGCTGTTGCTGGTGCTGCTGCCCCACCTGCTGCTGCCCCACCTGCTGCTTCCCACCCTGCACCAACCACTGCCCCCCGGGCAGCAGTCGAAGCGGGTGCTGCTGCCCCGGCCTGCCCTGCCTCCGCCTCTGAACCTGTGCCTTCGCCTCTTCTGTCCCCTGCTCCCCCTTCCATCACCATCGCCTCTCTTGGCCTCACCCGACCCTGACTGGACTCATCATCCTCACCACCAAGGCCGGCACTACTGTCACCACCATCAACGCCACCAAGCCCACCACTCCCAACACCACCACCAGCACCGGCGCCAGCAGCGGCACGAGGTGCAGCAAGCGGCACGGCAGCATCATTTGCAGGAAGAGCAGCAGCTGCAGCGGCAGCAGCAGCAGCACCACCACCACCGCCCCCCCTCCCAACAGCTCCCCCATTGGCCGCCTCTACTCGCCAGCGCATGGCGAAATACACCTCTTCCAACCGGTCCAGGTTACGCAGTAACCGCACGCTCCTCCTCGCCCCCCGCGGCCGTCCCATGCCGAATGGAGCAACAGTAACGCCAGCAGCACCAGCAGCAACAGAGGAAGGGAAATGCCGTGCCCCTTCTCGTGCCTCCTCCACTTCACCTGTCGGCCACCTCCCTCTCGCCTCTCGCCCTCCCCCACCCATGCTCACCACTCCACTCATGTCAGCAGCTGCAGCAGCAGCGGCATGAGAGGTTGGGATGAGCCCAGGGCGAGGGGAGCGCGGCGAAAAGGCACCCCAAAGGTCCCTCTCTGCGCCTCCACTCATGTCACTCCCACCCTCTCTGCCACCCTCCCACCCAGTCTCCCTGCGTCCCCCTCTGCCGCCTTCCCTCTCCTCTACCGTCTGTGCTGACGGGGCTGGCAGCATGAGCGGCTGGGACTGCCCCTGCGACTGCCCCTGCTGCCTCTGGGACTGCCCTGATCCATGTGCGTGCATCTGCCGCCCTTGCCCCTGCCGCCCATGCCCGTGCCGCCCGTGCGCCTGCTGCCCGCCCATCACCGCCGCCCGCCTGCGGTGCACCTCGTGAATATCCCCAGTGAGCCGCCCGAGATCCAGGGCGAGTTTCTGGGCGGCAGACTGCTTGGCGAGGTGGATTCGCGAGAGGAAGGCGAGTAACACGTCACACTCCGCCTCCTGTGCCTCCAGCCCCGCCTGCTGCCCCCTGTGCGCGAACATGCTTGCTACATCTGCCAGCAGTTGACTGCTGCGCACCTCCCTGAGAGAACAGGCAGGGAAGACGGAACAAGATAGTAGTTGAAATGAGTGGAGAGGAAGGCAGGTAGCACGGCACACTCCGCCTCCTGTGCCTCCAGCCTCGCCTGCTGCCCCCTGTGCGCGAACATGCTCGCCACGTCTGCTAAGAGCTGGCTGCTGCGCACCTCCCTGCAAGGAGGAAGGCATGGAGAGTTGGGCAAGGCGACTTTAAGAAACAGGAGGCCATGGCACAGGGAGTTTGAGAAGCGTCAAACAAGTGGCGGCAGTTAAGCCTCAAGGGGTGGGAGCAAGGGGTGGGCATGACAAGGGGTGGGCATGACAAGGGGTGGGCATGACAAGGGGTGAGGGTTGGTGCTTACGAGGCGATGAGCAGGTGGAGGGCTGAGCGGCAGCAGGCAGAGGCAGAAGGCAATTGGAGAGGGTGGGATCAAGGGACGACAGGCGTCAAGTAGTGGGGGCGTCAAGTGTTTGGCAGGCGAAGGTGGGAGGCAGGGCACTAGGAGGGGGATCAAGGAGTGCTTACGATGCGGTGGGGCGCGCGGAGCGTTGAGGGTGCAGCAGGCAGAGGCAGAAGGCGGCCTCCTTGGGGCGATGGGCGAGAGGTGGGTGCAACGGATGAGGTGGGTCAAGGAGTGATCACGAGGCGTTGGGGTGCTCAGAAGGCGTTAGGGAACTCACGAGGCGTTGGGGTGCTCAGAAGGCGTTAGGGAACTCACGATGCGTTGGGGTGCTCAGAAGGCGTTAGGGAACTCACGATGCGTTGGGGTGCTCAGAAGGCGTTAGGGAACTCACGATGCGTTGGGGTGCTCAGAAGGCGTTAGGGAACTCACGATGCGGTGGGGCGTGCTGACGGCTGCGGGTGCAGCAGCCAGACGCAGAAGGCGGCCTCCTTGGGACGATGAGCGAGAGGTGGGTGCAAGGAGTGATGTGGGTCAAGGGGTGAGGGTCAAAGAGTGGGGGGAATCAAGGATTCAAGAAGGAGTGCTTACGATGCGGTGGGGCGCGCGGAGGGTTGCGGGTGCAGCAGCCAGAGGCAGAAGGCGGCCTCCTTGGGGCGATGGGAGAGCAGGCGCGGCGGCAAGATGCGATGGCAGAGATCCGCCATTATCATGCTTCTCTCCGTGGCGCTGGTGAATGGACAGAAGAGCTGGTGGGGGAGGGGAGAGAAGAGCGCGGAAGGGGGGAACGGGGAATGGGGGGAGAGGGGAGGGGAGTGAGAAGAGAAATAGAGGAGGGAGAGGAGGAAATGATGCGATGGCAGAGGTCCGCCATTATCATGCTTCGCTCTGTGGCACTGGTGAATGGACAGAAGAGCTGGTGGGGGGGGGGGGGGAGATGATGGGTGTGTGGGGAGGGGAGTGGGAAGGGAGAGAGAGTGAGACAAGAGGGATGCGATGGCAGAGGCCCGCCATTATCATGCCTCGCTCCGTGGCGCTCGAGAATGGATAGAAGAGGTGGGAGATGGGGGAGGAGGGGGGAAGAAGAGGACCCCGCTCTCTCACACCTCACCTCGAAACGCACCCCATCCCCCCGCCCCATCCCCCCACTCCTCTCTCCCGCCTCACCTCGAAGAAGAGCACGCCCAGCTTGAAGCGCCTCAAAAGAGGAGGCTCACCTCGAAGAAGAGCACGCCCAGCTTGAAGCGCCTCAAAAGAGGAGGCTCACCTCGAAGAAGAGCACGCCCAGCTTGAAGCGCCTCAAAAGAGGAGGCTCACCTCGAAGAAGAGCACGCCCAGCTTGAAGCGCCTCAAAAGAGGAGGCTCACCTCGAAGAAGAGCACGCCCAGCTTGAAGCGCCTCAAAAGAGGAGGCTCACCTCGAAGAAGAGCACGCCCAGCTTGAACACGTCAGACGCCGCCCCCACAGGGTCGCCCCTCGCCTCCTCCGGTGACGTGTACCACCGCGCCTCCTCCTCCTCCGCCCTCCCCCCCCTCTCCCCCTGCCCTTCCCCCTTCCCCTCCCCACTGCATGTCCCCTCCTCCTCGTTCTCCTGCCTCTGCCCCTCCAGCACCGGGGGTTAATCGCTGCTGCCCTGCCATGCCCCGCCCTGCTGCTGCTCGCCCCGCCCTCCCACCCACTTGCCCCTGCGCCAGATGCCCCTGCCCCTGCCCCTGCCCCTGCGCTAGATGCCCCTCCTCCCCCTGCTCCTGCAGCATTGCCCGCTGCCATGCCTCCGCCTGCTGCTCCCTCCACGTCGCTGCCCCCTCTGCTGCCCCTCCGCCCGCACCCCCGTCCTCTTGCTGCCGCCACCCCTGCTGCTGCTGCTGCTGCTGCTGCTGCTGCTGCTGCTGCTGCTGTTGCTGCTGCTCCTCCTGTTGCAACCGAACCTGCCCTCCACTCCCCCCATCCCCCATCTCTCCTTCCCCCGTCTCCCCCCCCCCCACCTCCCCCTCCCCCTCTCCCGTCCCCCCCGCTCGCGCCCGCAGGAATGGCGGATGGTACACCACCCTTCGGTGCGCAGACAGGACAAAGCACGCCGGCCGCACGTGGCGCACCACGTGGCCCTGCGCGTGGGCGGCAGCGACCATGTCCACCACCTGCGCGAACAGAAACAGGCTCTCCAATCGATCCACCTCCCTGCCCGCGCGGTTCAACCAGCGCCGCAGCGACAGTAGCGGTTGAGGGGTCAATGTGGGAGGGCCAACCCTGGGTTGAGGCGCGGTTGCTGGTGGGTCCAGCCTGGGAGGCGGCATGGCGGGAGGTGAGGGGAGGTGGGGGGGCGGAGGGGAGGGGTTTGCTGCAGCGCGGACGGGGGGAGGGGCTGGGGGTTGTAGGGCGGCGGGCGCGGATGGTGTGTGGGGGAGGTGGGGAGGAGGGTGGCGGAGGAAGGGTGGTTGATGTGCGGAGGAGGGGGCGGTGGTGGGTAGAGGGGCTGGCCCCCCCTCTCTGCCTCTGCCACGCGCACCAGCATCAACAGCCGGCGGTGGTGGTGGCGCTGCTGCTGCCCCGCCTGCTGCTCCTCTCTCCGCCATCCCATGCGTGTGCCTCAGCTGCTGCTGCTGCTGTGGGGGTGGTGGCGACGGCAGAGGGTCGTGGCGCTGCTGCTGTGGCAGGGGCTGTAGCCGCTGCTGCTGCTGCTGCTGCTGCTGCCTTGGGCCTGCCATTGGCGCCTGCGGCCTTGCTGCCCCTGCTGCCCCTGCTGCTCCTGCTGCCCCGCCAGCCGCTGTTGCCCCTCCGCCACGACCATTGCCCGCATCACCACCACGACCCGTACCCCCATCACCACCTGCACCAGCAGCGCCAGTCACCCTTCCGCCGCCCCCAGCGCCAGCTGCGCCACTGCCTGGCGCATTGCCACCCTGCACTCTCCCCTCCCCCGCTTTCCGTTGCTCCGCCTCCCCGCCTCCCATCTGCCTCCCTTCCCCCCTTCCCCCCTTCACCACCCCTCGCGCCCCACACACCATCGCCACGCGACTCCCCTGCCCCGCCCTCCCCCTCCCTCCCCCCTCTCCCCTCCCCATCTCCTCCCTCTCCGTCTCCCGCGCCCTTCCCCCTCCCCCTCCGCCTCCCCCTTCCCCCGCCCATCCGCCACTCCCCTCTGACTCCTCAGTCTCGTCCAGCGAGCTCCCCGTGCGCTCCCCCGCGCCTGCGCCCATGCCCCCCGCGCGGGGGGGCCCGCAGACGTTGGAGTTGCTGCGCAGCCCCTCCTCCGCGCGCCCCCCCAGCTGCTGCGTGGAGAAGAGAAACGGCCCCGTTACAAGCACACGCTCTGAGGGTACAGCAGGCGCGGGATGCGCCCCATGCGCCTCATACGCCCCCCCATGCGCCACCCCATGCGCCCCATGTGCCCTATGCGCTACCCCTGCTCCCTCCCGCTCCCCCCAGCCCGTTTCTCCTGCCTCCTCCTCAAAACCACCATTACCACCACCATGGCCATCACCACCGCCGGCAGCACCAACCACACCAACAGCGCCACCTGCAGCAGCGCCAGCAGCGGCACCCCCTTGCTGCGCCCTGCGCCAGATGTCCGCCTGCACAACCGGGTGAAACCACCCTTCCGCCGCCCGCCCAGGCTCCGCCACCAATGGCCTTGCTACATGTGTCACTGCCGCCGCCCGGCCCTCCCCTGCCGCCCAGCCTTCCCCGGCCGCCCCCCAACCTGTTACAGCTGGCTCGTTCCACACCTCCGCGACCATTTCCGCTTCCCCATCATCCCGCCCTTCTCCTTGCTCCCCCCACGCTTCCCCCTCCCCTTCCCCCTCCGCCTCCCCCACCCCCTCCGCCTCCGCCTCCTCGCAGTCCCTTTCGCGGACGCCCACCCGCCTTGCATCCGGGCGCGCTCCCCCCTCCCCCAGCACGTCCCGCCACCGCCCCCCTGCCGCCACCCCCTGCGCCGCCTCGCCTCTCACGCCGCCGGTGGGGGAAACAGCCCGCACTGGCGCTACTAGAGCTGCTGCAGTTGCTGGAGTTGCTGCTGACGGTGCTGCTGCTGACGGTGCTGCTGCTGTTGCACCTGGGGACGGTGTTATCCTGCCAGCTGTATCGCCTGCCTGCCGCCCCTGCTGCTGCCCCTGCTGCTGCCCCTGCTGTCCCCGCCGCCCAGCCGCGGCGCCAGCTACCGCCCACATCCTCTCCTGTCCCCCAACCCCCCCTGCGCCTGCGACCCCCGCGCGCCCGTCCGCCCCCAACGCTCCGCCCCGCCCCCTGCCTCCCCCGGGCGTCCCTCTGTTAAGCTGCGCGCGCATGTCCCGCTGCAGCAGGCGCAGGTATTGGCGCTGCAGCTGGCGCTGCTGCTGCAGAAGGTCCACTCCGCCGTGCGCGCCCTCCGCGCCCTCCCCCCCTCCGCGCATCAGCAGCGAGTGCTGCGCCGCCGCCAGCATCTGCCTGTGCTGCTGCAGCAACCGCTGCCGAATGCTCGCGCCCTCCCCCTCATCCTCCCCCCCTACCTCCTCCCCTTCCTGCTCCCGCTCCTGCTCCTGCGCCTGCTCCTGCTCTTGCGCCTGCTCTTGCTCCTGTGCCTGCTCCTCCCCTTCTTCCTCCTCCCCTGGCTCCCCCTGTTCCCCGTGTTCCCCATGTTCCCCCTGTCCCTGCTCGCGCGCCTGATCCTGCGCCGGCTTCCGCTCATCTTCCCCCGACCATCCTTGCCCAGCCATTTGCCCCTCATATTGCAATCCCCCCAACCCCGCACTTCCGCGCCTCTCCTGCTCCCCGTGCCATGCCCCGCCGAACCCTATCTCACCCACCGCGCCTGCCGCGCCCTCTCCGCCTTGCCGCTCCGTCCGCGCGCGCTTCCGGCGCGCCTCGTTGTCCTCCCCCCAGTCCCCCACTCCCTCATCCTCACCCGCCGGTAGCCATTGCGCTTGGCCGTTCCCCTCGCCCACCCCATCCGCGGATCTCACTGCTCCCGCGCCTACTCTTCCGCCTTCCGCCCCACCGCCCGCCGCGTGCTTGCCAGGCGCAGCCGGCAGCACCGCGCCCATCAGTCTCACGCGCTCTCGCGCCATCCCGCCTTCCGCCCCGCCACGGCTGGCGGGGGGCAGAGCCGGAGGGCGCATGAGGCGCGCGCGGGGATCGGAGTCTGCGCCACTGCGACCTTCCCCCGGCTGGGACTCTCTCACGTGCTGCTGCGACGGATCCATATCCATAGGTGCGTCAGGTGCCGCGTCAGGTGCTGCGTCAGGTGCCGCGTCAGGTGCTGCTTCAGGTGCCACAAATTGATCAGCTGCGTCAGCCCTGATCCCACCCAGTGCGTCCCCTCCACCCACACCGACTACAGCCGATCGCCGACCGATGAAAGTAAATACCCGTTCGCCCTCTGCCCCTCCTGCCGCCTCTCTTCCCCCCGTACCCGCGCCTGGCGCAGCTGTGGCAAGCGGGAAGGCGGAGGCGGAGGCGGAGGCGGCGGCGGAAGCGGAAGCGGGAGCGGAAGCGGGAGCGGAAGCGGGAACTGAAGCTGTAGCAGCGGCGGCGGCGGCAGCGAGATCGTGCTGCTGCTGGCGGCGCCACTGGCTGAGCAATACCTCCTGCTGCTGCTGCCGCTGGCACTTGCTGCGCTGCTGCTCCCGCTGCACGTGCTGCCGCAGCAGCTGCCGCGATAGCGACCCCTCGCGCGGAGCTACGTGGCTGATGTTGCGCATCCGACGGGGCAGCGGCGGGCTAATGCGGCGCGCGGGGGGGGCGGGCGGCGGAGCGGAAGAGAGCAGCGCGGGGGAGAGCGCGGTGGTGGCGGAAACCAAGTGAAGCGTGGTGCCATGGGGATCGGCGGGGAGACATGGTGGGTCGTCAGACGGGGGGGAGGGGGACTTGGGGAAGGCCGAACTGGGGAGGTCGCGCAAGGACGGGAGGAGCGTGATTGGCGCGGGGGAAGGTTGCCCCGCAGAAGGCAATTGCGCGGCGGGGGATGGGGGAGCCAGAAGCGTGAGCGGGCGGAGGGAGGAGGGCGGGGGACCGGGGACCGCGGGGGAAGACGCGGGTCGAGTGGGGGAATTGGCGGATGGTGGGGTGGGCGATCGGGACGAAGGCATGTGCTCGGCACGCGCAAGGAGACCGGTCAAAAGGCCCACTGCGGGCCCTCGATCGGCAGGTTTCTAAAGGCCAACTGGTGAGTCGCTCCTAGCAATTCGCTTCGTTGAAGCTAGCAGCGAGGTATAAACGGCCAGGCTTTCACTGTACTATGTCGCTCTCTCCAACTTTTGAGGCGCCTCAGAACTGTACTATGCCACTCACTCCAACTTCGGGTTAACGTGATCGCTAGCAGGAAATCGCAAGAACAGTCAACCTTGGGATTGGGTTCAGTGTCCTACCCAGGCTACCGATGCTAACGATACGGCTTCAACCGGCGTGGCGCGGGCCGCGATGACAGTATTTTTTACAGTTTGTACTTTCTCAACTGAATTGAACCTCGTTTCTTTCGCCAGCGATAGCTGCTCAGAGTTCTCTGTTGGTGCCCTCTACAATCTGACCAAGAAGCAAGCTGACTGAAAGCGAGAGCGACGCGTGACAGAGAAGAATGCTCGTAACCCATCTGAGGTAGCTTTGCCTTATAAGTCGCGAAGGAGTCTGTTTGAGACCTGGACCCAGGAGGTCACACACAAACCCTCACAACATTAACAACGCAACTTCATAATGATTTCAAACTGTACAAGAAGTTATTAGGTTCGCTTAGTTGGACGCTGGAGCGATGGACACCTTACAAGCTGAACCCTAAAAAACGGTTCCTGGATCTCAACCAAGGAACGATCAAGAGACGTGGCACTTTGAACCCGTGGTTGCTGCTGTCTTGATTCCGTTGGGTGGGACAAGCTAGCAAACCCTTCGCTCACTCGTAGCATCTGCTGCTGCACATTCAAGTGTGGCGCGCGCAGCCATGTTTTTGGGTCCGTAACATGAACCAAATCCCTCTGGTTCTAATGCGTGGCTCTGGTGGCTACACCGTCGAATCTTTCGCTCACGGCCACGTAAAGATCGATCGGACGCTCTAGCGTTCCGCCACAATTCGCATTCTCATGCTGCCACGCGGCTGCCCCACTCACCTCAGAACCGCCGCTGGGAGCTGCCTACAGAGTGTATGATGAACCTTAAAAGTTTGAGAATAAGATCCCGGCAGAGAATTCTGCACAGTAAATTCCTGTCAAACTTCATCCTCACAAGTTGTAATTCCTACACTAGTGACGATCCGATCTCCACTCGGAGAACTCCGCTGATGTCTTCAATTACCCTGTTGAAAGAATACAGAACCAGGAAACTAGCCTAAGCACGGCTTCCAACCGTGAACCCCCCTACACTGAAGGACTTTGTTGTTTGCCCGAATCTTCCGATCTTCGCAGTGTGACCAAAAAGAACAAGAAAGCCCTGCCGTAAAGTCGCCGCTTCACGAATCTGATATTTCCCCCTCGCGTGCGAAATCATTCCATTGTAGGACTTTTGTGGGGCTCTGTTTCGTAGCCATCTTGTGGCTGAAAAGGGTCGTACGCTTTACCCAGTAAAACGGGACCTTCAAAAAATTGCTTCGAATTTCCACCTAAAATTATTCTATTTCCACCACAATGAATTTGGTGTTATTATTTGGTGTTTTTCTCCCTGCTTCGAGGATGCAGATATAAAAATATCGTATTATCACGATAACAGCCGCCCTAGCTCAGTTGGTAGAGCGCAAGGCTCTTAACCTTGTGGTCGTGGGTTCGAGCCCCACGGGCGGCGATTACCAGCGTAGTGCTAAAGATCACATGAAAATTGTGATAGTTTTGCCCTCACCTTCAGTGAAGGTCAACCAACTAAAACCGGGCTCAGGGAGGACATTACCAAGTGCTGCTGCGCTTCTTACAGCAACATTATACTGAATGATGTTATTGATCTGTCGGTTGTCACCAAACACTCTCGACTCTAGTCGCTACTGCACAGCAGACAATACAGGACATTCAACAGGATCACATGGCATGATGACCTCCCTAGGTTTGACCATGAGGATTCAGCTGCACCCTGCCGGGCGCACCTCTCCGTTTCTTTAGAAGGTACCATGATGCCACTGTTTCACCTTCTGCACTGCCTTTGCTCTACACGAGGGGCTTGAGGCATCACATCGCGTGGAATACGCAGATTCGACACTGAGTAGCCAGTTTCACATGCAGTCAGCTTCAAATGTAGCCAGCTTCACATGCAGTCAGCTAGAATCATAGAAGGAGATTCACCTTACAACCTATCAGCTCTCCCTCTCCTGCAGCCAATCACAAGGCTCTTCCTCCTCTCCCCTGCCTGTGCCTGCGCCCGCTCCCACTGCTGGTCCTCCATGAACAGTGCCACTGCCGCCCGCACGTCGCCGCCCGCCTCGCCCAGGTAGTACTGCGCTGTTGGCTCGTCCACCTGAAGGGCTCGTTGCAACAGAGAAACCACCTGCGCAGTGCCATGCGCTGCTGAGGGTCTGAGGGAGGGAGGGAGTGTGAGGAGCAGGTGGAGTAGCAGGGGGAGCAGCGGAGAGGTAGTCAGATGGCATGATGGCATGATCGCATGATCGCATGATGGCATGATTGCATGATCGCATGACGACATGATGGCAAAATGGCACGACAGCATCATGGCATGAGGGCATGATGCCAGGGGAAATGGAAGGACAGACAAAGGGCAACTACGAAACGAGTCACGAAGAACTTGGCTCCAATGTGCACATGATAATTGATGACACTCACATGATAATTGATGACACTCACATGATAATTGATGACACTCACATGATAATTGATGACACTCACATGATAATTGATGACACTCACATGATAATTGATGACACTCACATGATAATTGATGACACTCACATGATAATTGATGACACTCACATGATAATTGATGACACTCACATGATAATTGATGACACTCACATGATAATTGATGACACTCACATGATAATTGATGACACTCACATGATAATTGATGACACTCACATGATAATTGATGACACTCACATGATAATTGATGACACTCACATGATAATTGATGACACTCACATGATAATTGATGACACTCACATGATAATTGATGACACTCACATGATAATTGACGACACTCACATGAGATTGTGTGACAGTCAAGTCATGCCATGTCACCCTTAACATGTCACGAAGCCATTACTGTTCACCATGCCAAGCAATCATCCCCACCTGCTTGCCCTACTTTGTTGATACAGCAACCTACTCTCCGCCCCCAGCCCCCCCCTAACCTTCTCCCTTCTTTCTCCTGCACAAAAGACTACCAGCAGAACATACACCAGCACACCATACCTTAGAGGACATTCAGCACTATTATAACACCCTCTCTCAGTATCACAAACTTATTACTAGCACTCTCAGTATCATCACTCTCATTATAAGCACCTGGCATTCCGTGCCTCTCCATACGATCGCCGAATCTCTGCCTCCTCCCCTTCCTCGAACACCAGCAGCACCTCCCGCCGCGCGTGGGAGTCAAACTGGACGGCGCAGTGCCGCCCCGCCAGCTCAGCCGGGCGGCGGGGGGCGGGGATGGGGATGAGGAGGCGCGTGCGCGTGTGGATGGCATGGTCGCTCATGATGTTGTTGAGACGGCGGATGTCCATGGCCTGGGGGGTTGTTTGCACGGGCACAGGCAGCAGACATGCATGGAATAGCCTTGTAAGCTCCCACATGTGCATGCATTGCACGGTCTTGAGGGCACAGCACAGCACGGACGCTCATGGTGTTGTTGAGACGGCCGATGGCCATGGCCTGGGGGGCGAGCACATGCATGGGCAGCAAGTATACACGTAAGAGACTCTTAAGCTCCCACACATGCATGTAATGCACGGTCTAGATGGCACAGCACAGACGCTCATGATGCTGTTGAGACGACGGATGTCCATGGCCTGGGGAGGTTGTTTGCACATGTGTGGGCATGAGTGTGTTCAGATGTGCACGCATGGCATGGCCTGGAGGACCTGGTCGCTCATGTTGTTGTTGAGATGGCGAATGTCCATGAGGCCTGGGTGCGGAAAAAGCGTCCATGCATGGGCCGCAGCACACATGCATGGGCAGCAGCACGTGTCAGTCTGACGCACCTGCACGTGGAAGCGCACTGCCAAGCTGGCAATGGAGTCGGTGCGGCCAATGGGGTGCGAGAGGGCGAACTCGGGCGATGCAAGGAGCGAGAGGAGGGAGGGGGGGCCACGGCGGGCGGTGAGAGGAGTGGGAGACGAGGGGAGGGGAGGGGGGTGCGAGTGGGCACGGGAGCGCGCTGCAGGAGTGGAGGCGGAATGGAGGAGAGAGGATGATAGCTTATCCCCCTTTGCGTCTGGCACTGGTGCTGCTGTTACAGCTGGTGCTGGTGCTGATGCTGCTGCTGCTGCTGCTGCTGGTGCTGATGCAGATGCTGATGCTGATGCTGATGCTGATGCTGATGCTGGCGTTGGCGGTGCTTGGGCAGCGGAGGGGGGGAGGCGCAGGGAGAGCAGGCGGTGGGAGCGGCAGAAGGCAGAGCAGCACAGCGAGGGGTCGAGGGCGAGCGGGCGCCAGCGACGGCACACAGCCGCCACACGGGGGAGGTCAGCCTGACGGGATGTGAAGGGAAGGGGGGTGGTGGGAAGGGAACGAGATGAGGACAGGGATGGCTAGAGAACAGGGAGGGGAGCAACGCAGCACAGCGAGCGAGGGGTTGAGGGCGAGAGGGCGCCAGCGGTGACTCAAAGCCGCCACACAAGGGAGGTCGGCCTGGCGGTTACCACGGGGGCGCCTCCAAAGGTTGGCGACACTCAGTCGCCACACAAGGGAGGTCGGCCTGGCGGATCGTGAAGGGAAAGGAGGGTAAAGAGACAGCAGGACTTTCAGACGGGTCAGCCTCACTGATCACGCAGAGCAGCAGCAAGGGGCGTTGGGAGCAGGCTGAAACGGATCAGACATGTACAGAGGAGCACAGTACGGCACACAATAGGAAAATATGGAATGGAACGAATGGGAAGAAAAGGGGAACTAAAAGGGGAAGGGGAAGAAAAGGGGAAGGGGAAGGGGAACGAAGGAGAGGAGGTCAGCAGAAACGCAGCAACTTTACCTTTGGACTCGATATAAGCTTACCACGCTCAGACGGCTGAAGATTTGCCGTAACACTTCGTCAGGAACCTCATGTACCCTTCCTGAAGCTGGCTCTTTGTTTTCAGATAACAAGGATGATGGTGCTGAGCCTCCTAACGGAGCAGTATGTAACGAATCGGCCCGTAAGGGTTGTGTGGATGGTTTAGAAGGACCATATGAGCCGCTGCCGCACTTTAATTCACCAGCTTCAGTAACTAACCGTTCTTGTCCTCGCTTCTGAGAAACTCGATAATTGAGGAGATGTGTGGAACGCGGCAACGTACTATCTAAGCCACTTTGCATGCCGCTTGTGCTCGCGAACGTGCCGTTAGTTTCGATATTAGCACTTGTTTTTACACTATCAACGAAGCAACAGTCAACGGATGAACGGGAAGGAAAGCACCCCATTGGCTGAGACCGTTGACGCTGCTGCTGCTGTTGCTGCTGTTTCACTGTACGCTCTTCCACTGGTTCTATTTTAAGACGTTGAGGCTGCTGTTTCGACTTTCCCTGCACTAAGCGACCGAGCGGGAGGGTCGCTTCAGGCGGCAGGACATCCTGCTGTTCGCTCATACATCCTTCGTGCGACTGGGTGAGCGACTGTTTGAGCGACTGACCGTGCGACGACGCGAGTGACTGCGCGTCTTTCTGCGACTGCGCCTCACGGCCTTGCCAGCGAATTTCAAAGAGAGAAACGAGCGACGGGATGCTTGAATGGGAAGAAGAAGCATGACAAGCGGCAGGCGACATCGCGCGACAAATTCTGCGACGTCCTAACGAACGTCGACTGGGTCGCAGGCGGAGGCTCGAGAGGGACGGGGACGCTCTTGAAGCTGATAGGGAACTTTGGGTGGGAGGGGGGCGGCAAGTAGTAGGGGGGTACGAAAATATGTGGGGTCGGAACGGAATTCGGAAAGGGTTGCAGCAAAAAATTAGGAGCCGCAGGTCCAGTCCAGACCCTAGTTGTCCCCGCTTGGAGGCAGCGTCGGCGAGGACGGACATTTGCGAAGCGAAGCGAACCTCGACGAGCGAAAATGACGGGCAAGTGGGTGATGGCGATGGATGGATGCGAGCGAAAACGTCGCAACCTGCACTTGTCGCATCCATTTTGCTTCGCGGTTCAATGTGCATCGCTTTGGAGAGTGTTGCATCTCCATGCACAATTTGCGTCAGAACCGAATTACTAGAGAGAACAGAAAGCACCTCAGCTACCCTCTGTACTACCTACCTAATGTCGTTTTGTAAAGTGTACAGGTATTTCATGAACATGGAACATGCGTTCAAGATCGATACAACAGGAACACACAATTCTTATCCATCATCACTCAGCTACCACAACCACGGTTCCACGAAACTAGTCCCTCCGAAGCTCATCGCCGGCCTCCCCCACCCTGTGCAAGGAGAATCCCAGAGGATACCATCCTGGCCAGAGGAGATTTGGGAGGCCGAGAATGCACATCACATTCCTCCAAACTCCTCCCAACCCCCCCTCCAGCTCTAGCCTCACAGCTGGACTTGGGTCGAGCCTCATCCAGCCTGTTACTGGCTTCTGTCTGGCTCCTTGCGAATCGCCGCCCCGGCGGTTCTGGCAGCGGCGCTTCAGCAGCTATAACCGCTGCTACTTGCGGTGACGGCTGGTCATACGACATACTTCTGGCGAGCATGTTACTGCTGGGACTCATGGATCTCATCGGAACTTCAGACTCGGTCGAAAAACATTCCGGGACCAGCTGCTGCCCCCGCTGCTTGCTCCGCACACCCCTCCTAGTGCCTCCTCTGGTTTGCGGCACCTCAGAAGATACACCCCTGCTGCTCCCTCCTATACTGCTCTCGCATGCCCCCATGTGGTTGCTCTCGGGAGGATGTGGTCGTTCCATGCGGACCCCCCCTCGCAACCCATTCTTTTCAGCATAAGGTGACTTGGGCAGGGAGGGTGACTTGGGCATTGTGGATGACTTGGATAGTGCGGATGACTTGGGCAGTGCGGGCGATTTAGGAAGAGAGGGTGACTTGGGTAGTGCGGGTGACTTGGGCAAAGCGGGTGATTTAGGCACAGAGGGTGACTTGGGGAGTGTGGGTAATTTGGGGAGCATTCTCCGTTCCCGCAGTTGCTGCCCGTAGTGGCTGTTGGAAGACTCAACACTAGCATGGCTAGAGCTCGCCTGGCTGGAGCAGTCATCACTCCACTCCTCCACTGCCCTCCCTTCTGCCTCCCACCCACCATCCCGCCCCCGGCTCCCCTGCCGACCATCCACTTCCCTGCCCCTAACCCCAGCTGAGGCATCAAACACGTTCCGGCCATTGTGCCCCGCCCCCGCTCCTTCCCCTGTGAAGCCAGTGTTGGAGGTGAGGGACCAGCGGCGATTCAGCACGGGCGGGCTGGGCAGAGGGGAGTGAGACTCCGACATTCGCCTGGCGGCGCCCGGCGTTGGGGTGAGGCTGTGAGGTGTTGGGATCAGGCCATAAGGTGCAGTGGGCTGAGAGAATGCAAAGTTGTCATCATCGTCCGAATCATCCTCATCCGAGTCACGATCGTAATTGTCGCGATTGTCGTGAGCAGAGGCAGCAGCATCGTGTGCATTACTGGGTGACAGGACCCTGCGCGGTTGCCCCTGCCCAGTACCACGGTTTTTGGGTTCGGTCTTTGACCGGCCCATAGGCGGGGTGAATGGGCGGCGTCCGCCGCCTGTTTCTCCCGAACCAGCCGTTGTATCTGTTTCCCCACTCCGCCCATCGACCACTAGTCTGTCGATTCTGTGACCCTTGCCAGCACCGTGATACCCAGCAGTAGCAGCAGTAGCAGCAGGAAGGTGTGGAATGGCAGCAGGGCTTTTGCTGCAGCGGCTGCTGTGGCTGCTGGCCATGCTCCCCATGCTCACGAAGCTGTATGTGCTTGATGCCGTGTTGCTCCTGCTGAACGCACCCCTTGCCCCACTCCGCACCCGCTCACCACCACCGCTGGTAACGCCGTAACAACTTTCGTCACCGATAGGACAGTAGTTACCGCCTGCACCATCATAATCTCCCTCGCCACCATCTGCACTGCCCATATTCCCCTGCCAACCGCTGCTTGGTGAATTTACAATCGGCTGCCCGTCGCTTTGTTTCATGGTCCGGCTTTTACCCAGCCTCCCAAACACCGGCCCGCTATAAAAGCCAGAGCCAAGTCCTCCCCAGGTAGGGGTGGTTGCTCTGGAGGAGGTGGGTCTGGTGGAGGTGTCACCTGATTTGCTGCCAAACGACAATCCCAACCGTCCACTGTTCCACATTCCATGCGCGTCGGTTTTGCCCTTCACGACCTCACCCAAATCGCTAGTGTCTCCAATTTCGCCAAGCTCATCCGCGAAACCTGATTTTCGGAACCCCCCCGAAGCACACTCAGTCTGTTCGATTGAAGTAACCCTACCGGAGGAACCGCGTGGCCTTTCGCCACCGCCATGCCCTAGCGAACTATCATCAAAATGAGCGTTTCGCGAACCTGGTGGCGAGCTCTTACGACGGTTAGCGGAGAACGGACGTGGCAAAGGCGATTTGCTACGCGGCCGAACCCGGGCAGTAGACGCAGCGTCAGCTCCGTTACAGGTTTTGCTCCGATTTAACTCGTAAGCTTCTTCGTCCACGCAATTTCTCGCAAAACTGCGATTACCCGCACCTGCACCGAAGCTCTTACTCCCAGCACTTATCCTCTCACCACTAACGTCCCTATCATCAGTAGTACCACCACTACTGGTACCGTTAAGACTAGGCGCCCTGCTCCACGTGGCGGTTTTCACGAGCGCGCGCGCAACGGTTGTCATTGACAAGGACCGCGGCGAAATCTGCGGCAACACGCCTCTGCGCTTCTCGCCGCCAGGGCCGCTGCTGCTGCTTTCCGCGCTGCTCCTGCCGCCGTTCTTTCCACCGCCGCTGCCACGCGAATGCTCCCCGCTCGCCGTCCGTCTCAGATGTCTCGTCCCCTCGCCCTCTCGCCCCTCCTCCTCCTCCTCCCCGCCTCTCATACCGCTTAGTTCATCACTCTCGCCGCGCGCCGAGCGCCCCTCAGCTGCCGCAACAGCCGCCGCAGCCGCGGCGGCGGAACACCTCCCCCTGCTGAGCCCTCCCCTTCCCCCCGCCACCGCTCCGTTCCCTGACCCATCCCTCCCGTTTCCGCCGCTCCCACGGGCCTTCCCCCCGCCAAACCCGCCAAGACCACCGCCGGCGCCGGGTTTCACGATGAGCTGTAAGAGGTTGCTCTCGCCGTCGTCCCCCCCGTCGCCGCGCTTATCCCGCCAGCCATCCACCGTGCGTTCGCTCACGCGCTGCCGTCGCTGCAGCGTGGGGCGGCGGAGCGAAGGAACCAGCAGCTTCCATATGCTGTGCGCCTCGAGAACCACGCCTTGCGCCTTCCGCGCAGCTCCCTCCCAGTCGTCCGACTCGCGCTGCGGAGATTCGGGGATCCACCAACGGTCGGAATCGAGTCCCGCGGCCCCTCCCGCGAACCACCCAAACCCTCCCGCGGCCCAGTCTTTGACTCTCGGTAAAATCGTCTCCACTATAGTCGCCACCTGCTTAGCCAAAACGAGCGGATCATCCGCCGCCACAACGACCAGCTTCCACGAAACTTCCGACCCCAGTCCGGACCGCAGGCGCACGGGAAGCGCGAGGAGCGGCAGCACGGGGAACACGTCGCCTGGGTCGCGCTCCTTTGCACCCACCTCCACCGCCTCTAACGGCGCGTTGTCCAGAATCACGGGAAACCCGCCGCAATCATCGGGACGGCTGAACGGGTCGCTGGGATCGACGGCAGAGGAGTCGAGTGGATAAAGATCGACGTCTGCTGCGGAGGTGCTTTTGTCGGGAAGTGCGGAGGAGGAGGAGGTTGCGGAGGTGACGGGGGACGGCCCGAGAACGCACGTTTGCGGGATGATCCCAAGGTTCCACGGCCGCTGCTCCGAGTCGTCGACTTTGACGGCGCCGTCAAGCGCTAGACGGCGACGGCGACCGGCGAGCGACGCGGCGAACGAGCTAGACTTGGAAGAAGTGCAGATAAAGTTGAGGAGGGGAATAGCAGTCGCCGGCTTGCCCCGCGCTGCAGAAGCGGAGGTGGCGCGCGGGGAAGCGCGGCGGGGAGAGTTACTCGCGCCTGGGCAGGCGAAGAGGATGACGTCATGCCAGATGGAGACGATGTCGCCGGCGCGGATGAGCGGAAGGAGGTTCCCCTGAGGCAGGTGCGACATGAGGCGACGCGACGTTATTGATACTTGTACAAGGTCGATTAGCTGACTTTGAAGGACTTACGCACGCTTGACGAATCCTTGCTTGGCACTACTAGTTTGTTGAAAGGACGGGCCTTCTCTAATCTTTTCTCGAAGACAAACCAAAACGGGATGTTAGCGGGAGCTAACTTACTGTGAGGCATCTAGAAGAGTGAGGGAACTCGTGGTGTAGGGGCGTGGAACTTGCAATGAACAGGAAGTCGTGACTTGTTTAGTCCAGTTCCCACTCGCTCCCAAAAATGCCGCCAGTGTGTTCTTGTGGCTGTGAAATCCGCTGCTGTGACAACTTGGCTCAGATGGGGTAGGCTGATGTTCAGGCCCGTGGTTGCAACGTGGAGTGCATGTCGGTGCAGGGAAAATTTCGGGGGAAATTATACGGGCAGTCACAATGTTTCCCGTTTTATCACATTTGGTCACAGGGGTATCACCAACAGTCACAGTACAGTAAATTTCTATCCTGGGTGATCACATTGCTATCAAGGTTGGTCACACCTCGCCCCGAAAAGCTATCACGTTTGGTCACTCGTTGGCGAGGTGTGACCATCCGTGATAGCACTGTGATCACCCGCGATAGAAATCTACTGTACTGTGACTGTTTGCGATACCCCTATAACCAAACGTGATAAAACGGGCATAATTGTGACTGCTTGTATAATCTCCCAAATTTCGGTCCTCATCGCAACCGCTGCGGCACATTGCAACAGATGCACAGAAGCTGTCGTCTTCTTCTGTTGAATTCACGAGCAGAAAAACTGTTCGCCGAACACCACCACCAACAACCGCCCTTCCACGTCATCGTGAAACCGCCAGTCACGGAGGGGGAGGGCGAAGTCAAATCATTTTTGCGCGAAAGATGCTTGAGAGTGGGGGAGAGCATCGCTAGCGAGAAGTTACAACTCCCTTGAAGAGCACTCGCAACTCGCAATGGGATGACAGATGCGTCCAAATGCTTTGGTCCTGATGGCTGCAGCAAATGGACAGCAAATGCTCCAAGCTATAATACTTTGAACGTACTAGTGCACCATGTTCAACGTTCTCAGTGTTAATTTTCTGTTGAAGCATGTTTAAATGGTCCCTCTAATGAAGGACACTCAAGGTCACATGGGAGATGTGCGGATCAGTTACCCTATAGACCACCAAGTGCCCATGCCGCGGAGAGTCACTACACAACGGGAGTGGACTACGGAGGAAGGCACGGGGTTGTGCGGGTGATCCTAGCGTTGCACTAGGCGTTCACACTACGTGCTGTGTTCACAAAGAAATTTGGCAAGAGTTTCACTAAGAAATTGAGTGAACAATAGATTACAAATGAGGCATGCAAGTCGATATAGGTAGAATGGCATGCGACACCTAGCAAGCTCTCTGCGGAGCGAACTCTGCCAGCGCAGCAAAAGAGCGGCTTGCCAACGCTGCAGCAGAGTAGTCTGTCAGCGTTGCACCACAACGGTATGCCAGCGCTGCAGAGGCAGGTGAACTTCTGCGCATGTGCACACCTACCAAGTAGGTGTAGGTAGGCGGTCGCGCCGCTAGGCACATTGCGCAGGTGCCAGGTAGAACACGTGTCGACGGTTTCGCCAGCCGTGCACCGTCGAGCACGTGATGCCGTTCCGCAGGTTGACTTCGCGAAAACCTCCTGAGCGACATTCGCCCTCACGTCGGATTTCGCCAATCGAGCGACTTGCGTCGACCGGTTTGACGATGCTCTGCCGAATAGCATTCGCCTAGACGAGCTCGTCGAGTAGAGCCCGTCGACCAATGCTCCTCGACGGGCCTCGTCTACGAGCGTCCTCTGCGAGCTCGTCAACCAGCGTCCTCTGCAAGCCCGACGACCAGCGTCCTCTGCGGACGCGTCGACCGGCGTCCTCTGCGGACGACTTCTGCGGACTTAGTCGAGGTCGAACTCTTATGCGGACTTGGTCGAGGTCGAACTCTACGGACAGGTCGAGGTCGAACTCTGCGGGCAGGTCGACGTCGAACCCTGCGGGCTGTCGACGTCGAACTCTGTGGGCTGTCGACGTCGACTTCTGCGCGCAGTCTGCGTCGACTTCTGCGTGCCCCCGACTACGAAGTCTGCTTCGCCCAAGCGAGGGCGGGGCCATTTCCCGAAAACACTCCCCTGCCGCGCTCGCGCTTGGGCACCCCACACACTAGGTCTACCCAGAACCGAAGGGATAGATTACAAGGAAAAAAATCCATCTGCGTGCACCCAACACATAACACGCATGGCACCGCACCAGCCGTGCAGAAGGGCACGACACCTACCGTTGCACCTCGTCATCACCGTCGCCGACGTCGGCCAAACGCGCTTGGCCGATTGCGACGGAGCACCGGTTGAAAGCCGAAAAATGCAGCCCCTTCGTCAGAAAGTCGGCCGGCTGCTCGGTGGTCGGGATGTACTGCAGAGCAATCTTCCCGCGCATCACCATATGCTACAGCCAGGCGTAACGTCGCTCCATGTGCTTGAGGTTGCACTTGAGCCCCAAGCCCTCTGCGACCGTGATGGCCGACTAGTTGTCCACGTGCAGCACGGTCGGCTTCCCAGCGTCGAGCAGCCGGAACTCCGCAAGAAGGAAGCGAAGACGACGAGCCTCCTTGCCGGCTTCCGTGGCCGCGACGTACTCCGACTCGGTCGACGAGAGCGTCGCGCACTTAATGCGCTGGCTCGACCAGGAGACGGCAGCCCCTCCGAAGACGAACACGTAGCCGCCCGTGCTCGTCCTGTTCTGCTTGTCACCAGCGTCGTCGTCGTCTGCATAGCCGACCAGGCAAAGCGACTCTGGTCCACCGCCGAACTCCAGAGCAGCGTCACGGGTGTCTGCGAGGTAGTGCAGACAACGGTCGACCTCGCGCCAGTTATTGTCGCTCCGCACTGTCAAGCCACTTCCCAGCTTGATGCACGCGAAGGCAATGTCTGGCCTCGTCGTCGTCACCGCGAACTGCAGCGAGCCGACTTTCTGCCGATACTCTTCCTCATTGCGTGACTGCGCGTCCTCGTCGTCGAAAGTCAACCCTGCGTAAGCGTCGACGGATACCGGCGTCTTCGGCACTCGCCCGGTCTGCTCCTCGTTGATGAAACGTCGACGCAGCTTGTCGACGTAGACTTGCTGGTGAAGCCATAGCTTCCTCGCTGGCCTGTCGCGCACGATCTCCAGCCCGAGATATTTCTCGACCGGTTTGATCTCGCGCAGCTCGAAGGCGGCCTCCAGCAGCTCCTTCAGCTTCTTCAGCATTGCAAGGCTGCTGCTGGCAGCGAGCAGGTCGTCGACGTAGACGAGCACCCAACACGTCAATCCGTCGTCGCCGACCTTGAAGTAGAGAGCCTCGTCGACCTGGATTTTCTTCCAGACGGCGCCGGTCAGCACCGCGTCGAGCGCAGAGTACCACAGCAGCGGACTCTGCTTCAGCCCGTAGAGGCTCTTCAGCAGCTTGCACACTCTGCCGATCCCGTCATTGTAGTAGTCCAGCTGGTACATGTAGAGCACGCAGTCGAGCTTGCTTTGCAGGAACGCGTTCTTCATGTCGAGCTGCATCGGATGCAGGTCGAGGACTGCTACGATGCTGAGGAAGATCCACAGATTCATGTAGCTCCCCACCGGCGCGTACGTCTCGTCGTAGTCTGGCCGTAAACCTGCGTGAAGCCTTTCACGACCAGGCGGGCCTTCTCGCGGGCGACCGTGTCGTCGACGTGGTACTTCGTCATAAGCACCCAACGGTTTTTCATGATGTTGACACCGCATAGACGCTCGACCGGCTCCCACGTCATGTTGGTGATGAGGCTCATAATCTCCTCGTCCATGGCGGCCTTCACCGCCTTCCCCTTCCAGCTCACCAACGCCTCCTTCACCGTCATCGTCGCGATATCCCAATGATGTTCCGGGTCAGCATTCATGTCGGGGTCGAGCTTGGGCAGGTCGACGTCGGCCTCTTCGTCGTCGAGCAGCGTGTTGTATGAGGTCGAAGGCAGACAGGCATGGTAGCTCAGCTTCTCTGCGGGCTTACCAATGTTGGAGCGGGTAGAACGCATCGGCTTCACTTCTTTGACCAGGACTTCCACCACATCACTGTTGTCGGACTGCTCCGCTGCCGACAGCTCCCCTTCCTCGCCACCAAGGACTTCTACGACGTCGCTCGACGCGCCATCGTCGAGCTGGTCCTCTGCCGACTTCTCTTCTGACAGGTCCTCTACCGACTCGGACTGCTCACCTGCCGATAGCTCCTCTGCCGAATCCTCTGCATACTCCTCTGCAGACTCCTCCTCTGTTGGCTCCTCTGACCGGCGCTCCCCTGTTGTCGATGGCTTCTGCACTCAGCCGTCGAGGTGCATCTCGTCACGTCGGTCACTGGCGATGCCACTAGCCGGCGCCGAAGGCGACGCAGCAATGCTCCCCTCATCGCCGCTGGCTGACGGCAACGGCGTCATCGGCAGATCAGCGACAAGGGGAAGAGGGGAGGAAGAAGTGAGCGCAGAGGGAGGAGTGATGTCCTCGACGTCGTCGTCCTCGACGGCAAGCAAAGGGGTCGTCGTCGACGAGGGATTCGTCGGCGCGACAGCAGGTTTCCGTGTTGAAACGGGGTCGTGCTCTGCCTTCCACGCCTCCAGTGACATTGTTTCGTAGAAGATGGCCTCTACGGTCGTCACCACCTTGTTGTCGGTGAGGTCGAGCACCTCCCAGCCCTTGCTCTCCGGCGACATACAAAGATGAAGGCCCCACCGGGCCTTCGGCGCCAGCTTCCCGTCGCGCTGCTGCTCGGGGACCATGAACTGCACCATGCAGCCCCACACGCGCACCTGCGTCAGGTCCGGTTTCTTCTCGAACAGCAGCTCGTGTGGCGTGGTCCCCGAAGGCAGAGACGCCCGTTCTAGGCAGTTGTGCACCCAGACGGCCTGGCGTAGAGCAAGGTGCCACCAGTGGTGCTTCACGCCCATGTGAAGCAGCATCGTCCGCACGGTCTCGACGACTGTACGCATCTCCCTCTCTGCCATCCCGTGCTGCTGCGGAGTATAGGGGCATGTCAGATTGTGGAGGATGCCCTTGTCCTCGACGAAGTCGGTGAAGGCTCGACCGAGGAACTCCCCTCCGCGGTCAGAACACAGCATTTTCACTGTCTTCGACGTCTGCCGCTCCACCAACTTCAGCCAATTTTCGAAGACGATCAGCGCGTCGCTCTTCTTCGCGATCAGCCTGACCCACACGCAGCGAGTCTTCCTGTCCTTCAGCAGAAGAAAGTAGAAGCTGCCATCTTTAGTGACCACTCGAAAAGGCCCGCAGAGGTCGATGTGCACCACGTCGAGCTCATTCTCGGCGTCCGATCCTTGGTCGGGGAAGGTGTGCCGCGCCAGCTTGCCTCCGACGCAGGAGGCGCACGGCAGATCCGAAGCGGTCGACTGCTTGATGTCTAGACCGACGGCGACCTCATGCTTCGCCGAGCTCTTGATCGTATCGACGCCGACGTGCACGAGCCTTGCGTGCCACATGTCCGGCGTAGACTTTGTCGCCGAGGCGATCGTCCACAGAGCCACCACTTCTGCCGGGGCCGACATCGACTTCTTCAGAACGTCGAAGGTCATGGCATAGTCGCTCTGCAAGGGGAGACCGGGAGCTACGTGACTCTGTGGATCTTCCTCAGCATCGTAGCAGTCCTCGACCTGCACCTGATGCAGCTCGACATGAAGAACGCGTTCCTGCAGAGCAATCCCGACCGCATGCTCTACATGTACCAGCCGGACTACTACAACAACAGGACCGGCAGAGTGTGCAAGTTGCTGAAGAGCCTCTACGGGCTGAATCAGAGTCCGCTGATGTGGTACTCCACGCTCACCGCACCATGCGGAGAGTCACTACACAACGTGAGTGGACTACGGAGGAAGGCACGGGGTTGTGCGGGTGATCGTAGCGTTCCACTAGGCGTTCTCACTACTTGCTGTGTTCATAAGGAAATTTGGCAAGAGTTTCACTAAGAAATTGAGAGAACAATAGATTACAAATGAGGCATGCAAGTCGATATAGGTAGAATGACATTGCAACACCTAGCAAGCTCTCTGCGGAGCAAACTCTGCCAGCGAAGCAAAAGAGCGGCTTGCCAACGCTGCAGCAGAGTAGTCTGTCAGCGTTGCACCACAGCGGTCTACCAGCGCTGCAGAGGCAGGTGAACTTCTGCGCATGTGCGCACCTACCAAGTAGGTGCAGGTAGGCGGTCGCGCTGCTAGGCACATTGCGCAGGTGCCAGGTAGAACACGTGTCGACAGTTTCGCCAGCCGTGCACCGTCGAGCACGTGATGCCGTTCCGCAGGTTGACTTCGCGAAAACCTCGTGAGCGACTTCGCCCTCACGTCGGATTTCGCCAGTCGAGTGACTTGCGTCGACCGGTTTGACGATGCTCCGCCGAATAGCGTTCGCCTAGACGAGCTCGTCGAGTAGAGCCCGTCGACCAATGCTCCTCGACGGGCCTTGTCTATGAGCGTCCTCTGCGAGCTCGTCAACCGACGTCCTCTGCAAGCCCGACGACCAGCGTCCTCTGCGGACGCGTCGACCAGCGTCCTCTGCGGACGCGTCGACCAGCGTCCTCTACGGACTCATCGAGCGCGTCCTCTGCGGACGACTTCTGCGGACTTGGTCGAGGTCGAACTCTACGGACAGGTTGAGGTCGAACTCTGCGGGCAGGTCGACGCCGAACTCTGCGGGCAGGTTGGCGTCGAACTCTACGGGCTGTCGACGTTGACTTCTGCGCGCAGTCTGCGTCGACTTCTGCGCGCCCCCGAGTGCAAAGTCTGCTTCGCCCAAGCGAGGGCGGGGCCATTTCCCGTCAACACATGCTACATTGTCTATTATGAGTTGTAATAAGAAGAGTGCGCGGGATTCAATATCACGGAAGTGATAACAACAACTGAGCAATTAATGAGACCTAGAATTGATATAGTGAAGGCTAGCTAGGCCGAGGTCGCAGGACCGCGCATGGTTGGGTGTAGGTTCGGGGTTGGGAAACCTGAAGTTGACGCGAGGGACGTTCGGATGGCGAGGTCGTCAGACCGAGCCTGGAACTCTGAAAGTTGGAGTTGTATGCGCATGGAGTGCCTCAGTAAGGAATTAGGGAAAATTCCTTACACTACCCCCCCCCCCCCCCCCCCTCTTAAGAAAGGTGGTCAATATCTGGCACTCGTCGAATAAAATATTATCCTTTCCGACGAGATACACTAAACCCTGGCCTTGTAGCGAATCGGTCGTGACCCACGTGTCATCTTCACTTGTGCGATCAACCCATCGCAGGAGAAAATCGACCTGGCGTCCTGTCGGTGTCGCACGCACGCGGTGATTCAGAATCTTCTAAGGCTGAAGTGTCGGGTCTGGTACAGGCCGAACACTTGGCGTCATGTTGGGGCAGGCGATATCGGACGACTGCGCGGCCACGTAATGGCGGAGTATGTCAAAACATATTTGTATATATTTATCTAGGCTGTAGTGGGGTTAGCCTTTAGGGGGTACAAACAATTTCTCGACACTTTGCTTGTACCCCCTTCCCTTCACCTAATCATCCATTCCACCTATGATTCTAACAGGTATAGAGCAGTTAGGTCCTTTGGGACCATTTTATTTTAAAACCTACCGTTAACACTGCCCCTTCCGCTGCCCGTGGCGCGCCCCTAGTGTGCCTCTTAGCTGCCCGTCGCGCGCCCCTAGCGCGCTTCGGTTTTCTGCCCATAGCGCGTCCCGTTCGCTGCCCCACGCGCGCCCTGTTTGCTGCCGCGCGCGCCCCGTTCGCTGCCGCTCGCGCGCCCCGTTTGCTGCCCCGCGCGCGGCTCTAACGCTGCCCGCGCGCTGCCCTGCTGCGCTGCCCGCGCACTTCCCTGCCGCGCGCCCTGCAGCGCTGCCCTGCTGCGCTCCCTGCCGCCCTGCCCTGTTGCGCGCCCTGCCGCGCTGCCATGATGCGCCCCCTGCCGAGCTGCCCTGCTGCGCCCCATGCCGCGCTGCCCGCGCGCTGCCATGCCGCGCGCCCTTCTGCGCTGCCCTGCTGCGCGCTTGCGCGCTGCCCGCGCGATTGCGCTCTGCTGCGCTGCCTTGCCGTGCTGCCCTGCCCAGCCGCCCTGTCGCCCTGCCCTGCCGCGCTGCCCTGCCCTGCTGCGCTCGCGATGCTCCGCGCCTGCGTGCGCTGCTGCCCGTGCTGCTCCGTGCCTGCTTCCCTGAGCCGCTGCGCCCTGCCGAGCCGCCCTGTCGAGCCGCCCTGCCGACCTGCTTTACCTTTTCGTGCCGCTCGGGCCCAGCCCTACCCTTTGGTCCTAGCACTGCTCGTTCTACTGCCTATTTTGTAACGGTCGCTAGGCCGCACTGCTCAATATGGCTACACCTACTGCTCTTGAGTTCGATGCCGAAGGTACCCCTATCGATTACGAGTCCTGGCTCGAGGGCCTTCATCTGTACCTGCTTAGCGTCACCAGAGACGACGCCTCTCTTTTTTAGCACACCTCAGGCTCCCTTCTTGCTCCGCCCACTCCGAAAGTGCCTGGCCCCACTTCGCCAGCAGACGTGCATCAACAGTATAAGATAGATCGCGTAGATAGTATTCAGTGGTTAGCACGCGACGCCACTACCGAGCTTGCAGTCCGCAGCCACCTCCTGCCCGTCCAGCGAACTCACTTTCGCTAGCTGAAAAATGCCAAAGCGCTCTATGACGCTGTAATGAAGCGCTATTCCTCCCCCTCCTCTGCTGCCGTAGGCCGCCTGCGGCCGCCGTACCTCTTTCCTGAGCTGTCCGACTTCATCACTGTCGCTGACCTCATGACTCACCTACGCTCCAGTGACCTTCGCTACCATGCTGCTCTTAAGCGTGAGTTTATGGCTGCGAACCTCCCCCCGATGTACATCACTCTCTACTTCCTAGTGACCTGTCTCCCTGACTCCCTTCGCCCCATCCGAGACCACTTCCTCTCTCTCGACCCCACCGAGCTCACCCTAGCCTCGTTTGAGTGACGACCCTTGGAGGCTGAGACCAGTGCCCACGCTGTAGCTGCCTCCCGTGATACTCCCCGCACCTCTTTCTTTGAGGGGTGTGCTCCTTCCCTCCTCGCGCCTTCTGTTGCCTCTGATGCTGCTGTTGACTTCCTCTGTGCTGAGGAAGCTGGTGCGGCGTCCGCTCCTGGCGGGAGGTGCAACAGGGGTGGGCGTCAGAAGGGCAAGGTGGTGCGGGTGGTGGCGGGGGTGGCGGTGGCGGCGGCGGTGGTGGTGGCGGTAGTGGGGGCGGTGGAGGTGGTGGTGGCGGGGGTGGTGGGAGTGGCAGGGGTGGTGGGGGTGGCGGGGGTGGCGGCGGCACTGGGGGTGGCGGAGGCGGCTCGGGTGGCGGTCGTGGTGGAGCTAGCAAGGGTGGGGGTCAGGGAGTTGCGTCTGGGCGCACAACTATTGGAGGCGGAGGTTCTGGGGGTGGACAGCAGCAGCAGTCGTGTCGGCAGGAAACCCTCTCGCCGCAGCAGCTGCGTGAGTGGGTGGTCCAGCGAGGTGGCCCCGGAGGAGGAGGAGGTCGCTGCACCTACGTCAGGCGCACGGGTCTTCACGCAGGGGACGTCTGCGGCAGGCAGGGCCAGGTGAGGCTCGCTGCTTCTACCGCCCCGAGGACGCTTTCCGCGAGGAGTTTGGTGAGAAGACGGACGTGCCTAACTGGTTAAGATTGCTCAAGAAGGGCGTAGATGTGTTTGCTCTTGATTGGGACCAGATCCTTGCTGGCATACATGCTATGTATACAGCTTCAGCTAGTGTTGAGGGTGACTTTTTCTCGGGTTTGCCTAGCTCTTGTGGTGTAGTGACTGCTAGTGTAGGTGCCTGCGAGTCTGCTAGCACAGGTGCAGTTCCAGTGGAGGCTCTACACACCTTTACTCTAGACTCCGGCGCGTCTCGCTGCTTCTTTCACGACTGCACCACAGTCATACCACTCACAGCACCTATCCCTGTCACTTTGGCCGACCGCTCGTCGGGTCCGGTAGTGGCTCGTGGCACCACTGTTCTGCCGTGTCCGGCGGTCCCCTCCGGCTCCCTCACAGGTTTCCACCTCCCCTAGTTCGCTACAAACTTGTTGAGTCAGGCTGTCCTCCAGGATCAGTTGGTCACCACCACTACTCCTGGGGGCAAGCTTGTGGCGATCTGCATGGACTCGGTGACTCGCGACCCCCTCGCCACTTTCACCCGAAGGCCTGGGTCTGGTATTTACAGACTCCACACTGAGTCTGCATAGGCAGCTGTGCCAGGTCAGGTAGTTGCGCCGTGCTCATGTCGGTTACTCACGCACCCGTCTCTCCTCTGGCACCACCGTCTTGGTCACCCCTCCCTGCAGTGTCTGCATCGCATGCACTCGCGTCTTCTTGTCTCTGGCCTTCCGAGGTCCTGCCCCCGCTCCCGTCGTCACTTGCACCGCCGTGCACTCTCTGCATTGAGGGGCGGCAGCGCACCGCTCCTCACTCCTCCTCGTTCCCTCCGACCACTGCTCCTCCGCAGAACCTACACATGGACGTGTGGGGCCCCGCCCCAGTCCCTGGGCCGAGCCGGGAGCGCTACTTCCTGCTGGTTGTTGATGAATATACGCGCTACACCATGGTGTTTCCCTTGCAGCGCAAGGGCGACGTCCGTCGTGTTTTGATCCAGTCGATCCACGCTGTTTGTCGCTAGCTGAGTGCACGGTTCCGCCAGGACCTCCCAGTGCTCCGTCTGCACTCTGACCATGGAGGTGAGTTTTCATCCGGTCTCCTTGAGGACTTTTGTCGTGAGGAGGGCATCACCCAGTCGTTCACGGTTCCAGCTTCTCCAAAGCAGAATGGGATTGCTGAGCGCAGCACTGGCTTGGTCATGGAGGTTGCTCGCACCTCCATGATCCATGCGGCTTCTCCCCATTTTCTGTGGCCGTTTGCGGTCCGATACGCCGCGCATCAACTCAACCTCTGGCTCCGTGTCTCCGAGCCAGAGACCTCCCCTACACTACGTTGGACGGGGGAGGTTGGCGATGCGTCGGTGTTTCGGGTCTGGGGTTCGCTTGCCCTTGTCCACGATACAACCGCAGGCAAGCTCACTTCTCGCACCGTTCGCTGCGTCTTCCTTGGCTTTCCCACCGACGCGTCGGGCTGGCATTTTTACCACCCGGCCACGCGTCGCGTCCTGTCCTCCTAGGACGTCACCTTTGACGAGTCGGTTTGCAACTACCGTCTCCTCCCATGTGTCTTCTCTTGTTCCCCCGCCGCCCCTCTTCCTGGATCCAGGTTACCCCACCAGTAGACCCCCACCCCCCCTCGCGTCTTGCTCCCTCAGGTGTGTCTCAGGTCACACCACCCCCCTTGGTTGATCCTATGGAGGTCTCATCTGGCCCGACTGAGGGGGGTGACCCTGCTGCTGACGACATTGCGGCCTCTCGCCTCTCTCCACGTTTGGAGACCCCTCCTGGCTTTCAGCCTCGGCCGTCTTCGCCGCCTCTATAGCCTGTCGCTGTGGACTCCGGTGCTGCTGGAGGTGGTGGCACTGGATGTGTGAGCTCTGAGGGTGCTGACGCTGGAGGTGCTGGTTCTGAAGGTGCTGAGCCTGGGGGTGCTGAGCCTGGAGGTGCTGCGCCTGAGGTTGGACAGCAGCTGCCGTCGTGTCCGCAGGAGACTCTCTCGGCGCAGCAGCTGTGTGAGTGGGTAGTCAGACGCCGTGCTGACTCTGCAGGTGCTGGTTCTGGGGGTGCTGAGCGTGCGGGTGCTGCCACTGGAGGTACTGAGCATGCGGTCACTGCCTCTGGAGCGGGAGGCCCTGGAGGTACTGGAGCAGGAGGTGCTGAGGCTGGTGGTGCTGAAGGTACAGGAGATGGAGGTACAGGAGCTGGTGGTGCTGGGGGTACTGGAGCCGGGGGTACTGGAGGTTCTAGTGCTGGGGGTGCTGCGCAACCGGTGCAGTGGCGACCGTTCTTCTAGCCTCAGCTGGAGTCGTCGCTTCCATCACCTGGCTTGGCGCTTTGCCAGGTTCTCAGTCTTCCGTCTTCCAGTGGCCTAACTCCTCCCCTACTGTGTCCTCCACCTGACCAGTCTCAACTACAGTTACAACCTCACTCCCCACTGCCTACTCCTTCTCCTTACACTCAACAGACAGACTCTCTGACAGAGCGTCGTAAGCGTGCGTCTCGTCTTGCCTCCCCTGTTCGCACTGTTCGTCGGGCTCGTCGTGCTCGTCCTCCACTTGTTCCCGGCACACACACTATGGCACTTCGTCCTTCCACTGTTCCACAGCGTGTTGCCCTGCCGTCTCCTCCAGCGTCCTCTCTTTCTGACGTGCCTGACCCTGAGTCTGACCTTGCTCGCGCTACTTGTCACTGACCATACTTTTGAGTCTGCTGCTGCGTCACTGAGCTCGTTGACGTCGGTTCTGCCTATCGTCTTGACTACTTTGCAAGTCTTTTTTCTGAGTCTGACTGTCCTCCGTCCGTCAGGGGTGAGCTTGCCTTGGCAGTGACGTCCTTGAGGACAGGCAGTTTGAGCTCGAGTGCCTTGCGACTACTGTACCTTATCTCGCTGCCATGCTGCTTTCCCCTGAAGGAGATGTTACACTAGCAATTACTAAATGAATTGATTAGCAATGAACAAAACAGGAAAGATATATGCAAGGCTAACCCTAAACATAGCACAACGGAATACACCTAGACTAGAACTAACAAAACTATATAAATATAGTTTGACACACCCCCATAGTCTAGGTGACGGTAGTCCTGTGAGAAGCAGCACAAATCTCAGGGTGGATCTCAAGGACACCACACAGTTTGAGAGCAAGGGTCACATGACCAGTCCACAAGAGCAAAACAAATCTCGGGGTGGATCTCAAGATCACCACGCAGTCCGAGAACAAGCAAGAGGCCACAAGGCCAGTCCACATGCAAGTATAAGAGATGCAAGAATACAAGACAAGCAGGATAAGCATCTCAATGTAAGAAAGGGGCCACAAGGCCAGTCCACAAGCAGAGATATAGCAAATATAGTGAGATGCAAGAGTACAAGACAAAGCATCTCTACGCAAGCAAGTGAGGGCCTGTAGACACAAGGCCTAGCTGGGTGCAAAAACGCTGGTGGTCACAAGGCGGCAACGCCTTAGTGAAGATATCTGCAGTGTTGGCCTCAGAGACAACATGTACCACGCGGGCCTGGCCATGCTGCTGCAACACGCGTAGAAGGAAGTAACGAAGCTGGATGTGCTTTGCCTTCCCAACCAGACGGGGCTCCTCGCACAACAGGACAGCATACTTGTTGTCGGCGAACAAGACTGGGGGAGAGCGAGGCTGCTCACCAAGGTCGGTGAGGAGGAAAGACATGTCAAACCTATATGCTATAGTCTATGTAGGCTGTAGTGGGGTAGTTCATATAGGGTACAACACTTCTAGGTTTCCTACTTGTACCCAACTGCCTGCTAGTCCAATCATTCCTTCGTTCTATTCTGACATGGTATTCTGAGCAGGTTCCCTCCGTGGGAACGTTTTTTTTTAGGGCCCACCACTAAAATTGTCTTACCTGCCCGAAGCGCGCTGTCGCGCCTGCCTCTCCTGCGCCGTCGCGCGCCTCTGCCCTGCTGTCGCGCTAGTCGCGACCCTGCCTGAGCCGCCCGTCGCGGCCCTGCTTTGCCGCCCGTCGCGGCTCTCTCCTGCCGCCCTACGTCGCGGCCCTGCTTGCCGCCTGTCGCGGCCCTGCTTTGCCGCCAGTCGCGGCCCTCTCCTGCTGCCCTACGTCGCAGCCCTGCCCTGCCGCCCCAAGTCGCGGCCCCTGACCTAATCGCAGCCACCGTCGCGGCCCCGCTGTCGCGCCCTGCCCTGCAGCCGCCGTCGCGCCTGCAGCACCTGTCGCGGCCCTGCCTTGCCGCTGACGCACCTGCAGCCGCCGTCGCGGCCCTGCCCTGCAGCCGCCCCAGTCGCGGCCCTGCTCTACCGCCGCCCAGTCGCGGCCCCGCCTTGCTGCCGCCCCAGTCGCGGCTCTGAACTAATCGCCAGCTGCGGCCCTGCCCTGCACCCGCCCCTGGTAAGCACCCGCGCCGCCCAGCCGAGCCGCGTCGCTCAGCCGAGCCGCGTCGCCCTGCCGAGCCGCGCCGCCCAGCCGAGCCGCGCCGCCCAGCCGAGCCGCGCCGCCCAGCCGAGCCGAGCCGCCCAGTCTAGCCGCGCCGCCCTACCGAGCCGCGCCACCCTACTGAGCCGCACTGCCCTGCTTCTGCTGTTTCTGCTGCTTCTGCTGCTACTGCTGCTTCTGCTGCTACTGCTGCTTCTGCCGCTATGGCTAGTCCTACTGTTCTTACCTTTGATGCTGAGGGTTGTGCTGTTGACTTCGAGGTTTGGGTAGACGACCTACAGCTGTTTCTCCAGTGCGACTCCAAGGACGGAGTCTCCCTGTTCGATCACACGTCCGGTGTCTCTCCTGCACCTGCTGCCACTGCTGACAGTACGGTTCGCTCGCAGTGGACTACTCGTGACGCTGTTGCTCGTCTTGCTGTTCGTAGTCACCTGCCGTCTGCTGAGCGCGCGCACTTTGGCCTGTACAAGACTGCTAAGTCTTTGTATGACGCTGTTGTCGCGCGCTACTCCTCCCCTGCCACTGCTGCTCTCAGCCGCCTCATGCTGCCGTACCTGTTCCCTGACCTTGCTGCCTTTGCCACAGTCGCTGACCTCATTACTCACCTCCGCACTAGTGACACCCGCTACCGCGCTGCGCTTCCCACTGAGTTCTGTGCCAAGAACCCCCCCCCCATGTACATCACTCTCTACTACCTAGTCACCCGTCTCCCTGACTCTCTCTCTTCAGTCAGGGACCACATTCTCTCCCTTTGCCCCACTGAGCTCACCGTCGACCTGCTTGAGGAGCGCCTTACTGCAGCAGAGAAGAGTATTGTTGTTGTAGGTGCTTCTCGCGGCGACCCCCGCGCCCCTTTCTTTGAGGGGTGCTCCCCCGTCCCCCTTCTCCCCTCTGTTGCTTCTGCTGCTGCTGTCAACCTCGTTGGCACTGAGGAGGTCGGGGCTACGTCTGCTCCTAGTGGGAGGCGCCGCAACAGCAAGGGCAAGGGGGGCAGGGG